AGTTTTATCTGCACTGGAAGTGGATAAGATAAACTCAGGTAGGCAGAATGAAAACTCAGCTTAACCCAAAAACTCGAAAGTCGCATCACTCTAACCATTACAAAGTCTAGAGCAATAAGGAGATAGAAGTAGAAGAAAGAGGAAAATGTTTATATACCAGTTCACCAGCGAAGACGGTAAAAAATCCATCAGCCACTTGACCAGAAAGCATCACAATAGCTGCATTGCTATTAAAAGGAGAGGAAATCTCAATAGAAATAAAGGAGAAAAATGTGGAAGAATCAAACAAAATTGTGTAGCAACAACAACCAAGATTTCATGGCGTTTTATAAAAAATGAATGTGCCTTCTTTTTTATCACCAAAAAAAAAAATGTACCTTCTGTTTTGAAAATCATAGATTGTATCAATATATATTTCACAATAATAAAACAGCCTGAACCAATGATCCATCAACAAGTACTATATATTGTCCATTGCAGGTTTTTTTACCCTGTATTTGTTCTATTGAATGCAACTTCCTCAGATGGGGAAAATGACACAACAAGCATATTTTCAAAATCAACGAGCAGCTGCAACATATCAGCTCCACTGTTTGACCAGTGCAATAACAAAAGGAAGAAAAAAAGACACTCTTGATAGTAGGTTGTACCTTGGTGAAAATCCAATATCCGTTAAGAACAATAACAGATAGGTAAACCAACAAGCAGCAGTTATGTCATTAAGCATGTGTCCTATGCCATAATAGAAAACTGGCCATCTTCCTAGGGGCTTAGTATATGAATCGTCTTCTTCAACATCAATACCCATCAAAGCAACTTTGATGAGCGCACACCTGCAAGGTGTAAATTGACACTTTAGCAAGAAAACTGAATCACAATCCTTCCTGAAGCTAAATTTACTTCTGGAGCAGTCTCGTTTATTTCTGGGTTTGTTTTTACAGAATAAGCTCAGAAATGCACCTGCAGCTAAATTTTGATTCCTGCCATGCTTAATTTTGCGGAGAATTTATTTGGAAATGACAAGCAAAATCACCAAAAATATCACTCATCACAGAACATTTTCCTCAAATACACATGAAATTAAAAGGTGACAGCCCCATTCAAATTGTGTAGACATCTTTCAGCAGCATAATAAACATCCGAGAAGACAGGTAACTTAAAAGCCCCCAAAACAAGAACCGCTCTTTTGCAGTCCCTGATGATTCAGTGTTTTCAGTAAAATCCGAAGAGCGTGAAGCCACATAAGTAAACTAATCAGAAAGCAAGCAAAAACATAGAGCTTTTATCAAACAGACTCTCCCATATTCCTTCCACGGATAAAATACGTCATTTTGTCATATCCAAATAGCCATCAAGGTAAAGCTGGAGAGCGAGAGCAGTCGGCACATAAGAATATATATCAGCAAGAGAACAAAAGCTTTTGTGACCCCAATATTTGTTTCCTTAATACAAACAAACACGGGGGAAAAGAAATATAACCCAGAATTATGTTCAGTATCCAATCACTGAGTCATCGAAATCGCGTAGGTTCATCAGAAAAGTGACCTTCTCTATAAAACTTTGATCACTACGGAGTTAACTTCATCCCTACAACACCCCCCCCCCTCAAAAGAAAAAAAATGGATTCCTCATTCTAAGGATACCGGAAATAAGGAAACACGGAGGCAAAATATTTCGAATTCAGGGAATAGGTATAGACTATAGAATTATGCTTACAGAAATACGGAGCGAAACTGCGGAAGGAAACCCCTGATGATCAATCAGAGATAGCCATCCTCACAGTTGAAGTACGACTAAGAACCCGAACCAAGTTGATACAAAGGACAAAACAGATATATGACCGTCTAAGCTCTATGGAGGCAATTTCCAAGAGGATAGACAACCAATATCTCTATGCAGAGGCCTGGAAGATAAAAGCCAATTATATTACACTTGAGTCTAAGATAAGCAGCAACAATTGTTGTCCTTTCCCAAAAGATCTCTTCTTAGTAAAGGGATCGTTTTCTTCAAATCTTCGGGATCACTTTCAATTCTATTTCTCCCCACTGAAGATGCCCAGTTACATGAATGGCTGTCATATATCAATCAACATCCATGTATGACAAAATAATTAAAAAAAACTATTAGCATTAACATCTTAATCTTTTTTGAATAGAATATAGGTAAAAATTACCTTATTACCTTAAAATTAAAAGTTTAAAATTTTTTGTCTTCCTTTGCGGCTGCGTGCACTGGGGGATTGCTTCCGGATCCCACCACCCCCATGGACCCTCCCCGCATCCCTTCCGACTTCCTGGAATCTCTCAGGATCCCTAACGAAAAGGGGTCCCACCCCCACAGAGCACTCCGGTGACAAAAGAAAAGGCCGCGTTGTGACGTGATCGACACGTGGCTCCATCCGTTGTCGGGTACTGTTTTATCGTTATTCAAAAGATATTATATATTTTTATTCACAGATAAATAATTTAATTAATTTTTTTAATTTACAAATTAATCTTCTAAATTTTAATGAAATAATAATTAATACTCACTCTAATCCTATACTGCTATATTAATAATCATGTTTTCATAATAAATTGATAATCATATGGATTAGTTAGTTTGAATAAATATGCGAAGTGTGGTGTTAAGTAGTTTCTCTTTTAAAATCACTTTAATTACAACTCTTTTAATTTATTTTAAAAAGCTACAGTTTTGAATAGAGAACAGTCTAAAATATTATTTGATTTTTAATGTATCAATGTGAGATAATGAATTTTTTAAAAACTGCGTGAAGTTTTTATATTGGAAAAGGGAAACTAAAATTAGGATATTGATAAGAATAGTATGATTATTTGATTCCTTTTTTGTGGTGAGGAACTGAGAATAGACCTTAATGAGGACACGTCAATGAATGTTGAGGACAGTCGTCTCTTGGCCTCTTCAATCAATTTTTTTCCTAGGTTGTAGTTAAATGAGCCACCGATTTTTCTCTTCCTTGATTTATGATTTAAGAAAAATCCCAATGAATGACAGTGACTTTTTCTCGGAAGGTGGGATGGGATCCACGTTTATTTTGAAAATAATGATGCTAATAATTATAATAGGCCCGAAGATAATTATATAATGAAACAGCCAGGAAGCATCCATATGGAGAATCTCTAAACAGAATCAGATAATTGCTCATATAATGACAAACTGAACCAATTATGTATCAATTTCATTGTGCTAAAGTATGCATTTGGCCTTTTAACTTGATATAAAATTTTAATTTAGTCTCTTAACTTTACAAAAGTATACTTTTAGTCCTTTAATCCTAGAATTGTTAGTCTTAAATGATAATTTCTTATAACAATCATGATTATTTTGAAAATTAAACTCAATGTGTTAGTATTTGGTGTTTTATCAATATTGAAGAGCTCGATATCAACATTTTTGGTTAACGGTTGTAAGATTAGAGGACTAAAAGTTTATTTTTCAAAATTAAGGGACCAAAATAAAAACTTGTGTAAATATAAAGGATTAAAAATATATTTTAGCCATTTCATTCTTAATCTCCTTTTCTTTAAACATACAGTAATCTATCTCATTTTAGCAAAAATATTTATTTGGGGTCTAAACTAATCCAGATCAAGCCGAGCAAGATCACAGAAAGCGGCGCAACTTTATCAAAAATAATAATAATAATAATAACAATGCTGCATTCTCATATACATCTTCGAATCAAGACCTGTGGTTATTCAACCAGGCGTTTAGTAATTAGCGACAATTTTATTCTTAAACCTCTCAAGTGTTTCATATCAACCTCTCCCAAAAATTTCCTTCCCAAGACATAGCTAACACTGAACTGTGAACACGTGTGTGTGTGTGTGTGTGTGTGTGTGATGCAGAAGGTGGATTATGTGGCCTGGCATTGTGATGCATAGCATACATACACTTGACCATCAGAATGTAGTTACGAAATTAGTTGGCGCTGCCATTCAACCGTGAAAGTTAGCTATTAAGTTATCTACTTTTCGGATTTTAATACTACCTCCGGTCCGTAATATAAGATATTGTTTGACTTTTATTTTGGTCCTAAATATGAGACCCCAATCCACTTTGTCTCTTATATTTATACATTTTTTTCAAAGTAATCATTCTAATAATGGTAGTCATAGCCAATATAGTTGATTAGTAAGGATAATTTAGGAAAGACAACACCTATTTATTACAAATAACTAACTTAACTTATTTCCTTAATTTCTTCAAATTAGTCAACTAGCTCTTCTAATTAGGACCGAAAGTAGTATAAAATTCAGTTGACTAATTTAAGAGAATTAAAAAAAATTACTTAATTATAACATACATTCTCTTTAAAATACTTATGTATCATTAAATTATATATCAATTTATAAGTAAGTGAAACTAGTTTGGAAAAAAACAATTAAAGTAATTTAACAACTTTATTAACCTTTTTAAATTAGTTAATTGCTCTTCCGGTCCTAATTATAAGACCCAATTGACTTATTTGAGGAGATTAAGGAAGTAAGTTAAGTTGATTATTTATAATAAATAAGTGTTGTCATTCCTAAAATATCCTTGCTAATTAAGTATATTGGCTAAAACTATCATTATTAGAAGGATTATCTTGGAAAAAAAATACATAAATATAAGAGACAAAATGGATTGGGGCCTTATAATTAGGACCAAATAAAAAGTCAAATAGGGTCTTATAATAAGGACCAGTGGAGTATGTTTTATATTAATAACTAGAGTTAATACATTCTAGTTTGTACATATCCCTGTGTGTATGTTTGTGTGGAAGCCAAGTTTTTTTTATTTGTACAAATAAGTCCTTGCGTTTTGTTAGATTTTACTTGTGTAATGGAACTTATCTAGCTTAGTGATGATTAAATAGATAAAATAAATTTTGTTAAGGATGCAGAGATTTGATAATCAAATGAATAATCATAATCATTTGAAAGTTCCAACAGTTCATATATATATATATATATATATATATAATACATACAAATGGATAGGAGGAATCAAGAATCCAACTCTTACCACAAAAAAAGGATAAGTTCTTATCTTGATTTCACTCCATTTTTATTCCCAATGACATCATTCCAAAACCCGCCACCCCACAACTTATGATTTCTAGTACTTTTCCTCCCCATAATTGCTCTTTTATTACAACAATGACACGCATGCAGACAATAGAGCAGAATGAGAAACGTTCAAGCCTAGAAAGGAAAAACAATGAGACAATAGCTAAGTGATCTATATTCAAGTGAAGCCCATGAAAGCCCATACGTGAAGCCCAATTACCAAAGCATCCAGCCCAAATAGACTCCTCCTGTTCAAGAAAGCTTCATTCTTCTGTTGCGCACTCGCTGCTTGGCTGCTTCCACTCCCTCCACTTGCTGCGGCTGCATCCGATCCCACATAACACCAGCTCATGTTATATATTTATAATATTTATATTTTTTGTGTCTGTGCTCCAAAAATAAACAAATAATAAACAAGTAAACTAAAGACTAAAGCTAATCGTCTTGTACTATAATATTACCTCTGGTCTTTAATATAAAAACTAGTTTCAGTTTTTAATATAAAAACAAGTTTAACTTTTAATTTGATCTTAAATATAAGATTCCAATCCATTTTGTCTCTCATATTTATTAATTTTTTTCAGAGTAATTCTTGTACTAGTTACATACGTTAAAGATTCCATTAAATAATAGTTTTAGGTAATACACATGATTAGCAAAGATGTTTTAAGAAATACAACACTTATTTATTACAAATAACTAACTTGACAAACTTTTTTAATATACTCAAATTAGCTAACTAGTTTTTATATCAAGGAACGGAGAGTTAGTAGCGTGAAAGATTCTTTTCAAGTGAGAAGCTGCAAGTTGGATCCCAGTGTCTATTTTTTTAAATAGACTAAAGTTGAGAGCAATAAAGTTATTAGCCTACCAGTAGGAGCAGGGGCAGGACCAGGACTTGCGCCGCTTTTACTTGAGCCTTTATCCAACTGATAGAAAATCTGAGCTTCTGGTGACTTGGGATCCATGTGCAGCAGCTCTGATTTCCAATTGTAAATAATGGAGTTCAAGTGTTAGTTCATAGTGAAAAAAGAAGTTTCACAGTAGATACAAGAAAAAGGCCCACAAATATAAGATTTTGAGTTAAGATGTGGTGTGGATTTTTCATACCAGGACATTTGGAGACATTAGAAGGGGCATTACAGACGTTAGGGAGGGTCATAGCGAGAGTGATATTGATCTGCAGGCTTCCAATGTCAGGGTCATTACGATCCTTAATGATGACACAGAGACACTTCTTGTTGTTCTTCAGAAGCTGCTTCAACCCACTGCAACAATCTGGCGTGGGAGACTTTGCCTGGCCTCCCACATATGGAAGACAAGTCGCTAGCCCTGCTAGCTGCTCTGTGCATTCCTCTTTCTCCTTCGATGAGTCTGCCATGGCGCCAACACAGACCACCACTAGTAGTGCCAGCAGACGCCAAGTGTAAGGGAAGAAGAAGACCATGTTTGGATGACAGAAACAGATGGGAACAGAATCTGTGAATAGGCTGCTCCAATTCAACAGTGATGTAGCTGGGTTTTCTGGTTTTTAGTGAAAGTCACGAGTGATCAATGGCTTTTTGTATGGATTGGGACAAGCAAAGTTGGGTGAGATTTGAGGGTTGGGAATGTGGAATGAAGTTGGAGGGCTTAAAATAAGGCAATTAGAAGTGTGGACGCAAGAAGAAACTGGTAAAGTGAAGGGACATAGTGGGTCACTTCACCAACCCACTAAAGCCAACAATGGCGGAACAAGAAGAGGCAGTGGCTTAAGGGAATGGTGGTGTGTGTGGGTTGGGGACGACGTATGAATGACACGTGGCATACAAATCATTACGTCATTTGATTGTGTTGATGAGGCTATTGCAAATTTGCAAACCTTCCCCCGCTCCACTCCCTCTTCATACAAATTTCCCAACTTCTAATATCTTAAATTTGTTTTTTTTTCCCTTTTGGGTCAAAAGAACTTATTCGATTTGGGCGGATCAGGACCGGTGAAAAGTAAGTGTTCACTCCAAGAGATTCGGCCCATTGTTTCTCACAGAAACAAATAATATTGGGCTCCCAAGTGGCAAGTTGCAATCCAGCCCTCTTTAAAGCGTACAAAATCACAGCGGTAAAAAAGAAATGGTTTTCTCTTCTTTTTTTTTTTGGTTTCAAAAGAACCCAAAAAAATAAAAAAAGCAGTCACTTGTAAACAATTCTTTCATAAAAAAAATATAAAAAACTAAAGATTACTAAATATCAAATAAAAAAAGTTAACGAAAATTTATTGTCATTTACAAATTCAATGTTATCAATACTAAATAAAGTGTTGTCTTCACAAAGTTATAAGACCATGTATGGGGGCTGACGCCTGCCCATAGTCGGAAGGTCAAGAAAGTTGGTAACCTGTTACCAAACATAATTTGAGATTTAGTAATTTTTAGCTTTTTTTAATTATTTTTCCTTCTTTCAAACTTTAAAATTAAAAAAATAATTATTCTCACAACTCTATAAATTAGACTCTCTATCTAATTGCTTGGATCTCTGCTCAATGATGAAAATATTTACAGTGACATTTGAGTAAACAAGTTATCAACTATTTAATTTAATTTGCTCTATAAATTTGTATTAATTAACCCACTTTAGCTCTATTAAAGTACCAAAAATCTGAGTTTAATACATAAAAACTATATTATATCACGTTGTGAGAGATTAGTCCCTTCTACTAGACTCAGCCCCGTTAATAAATTAATTGTCATATATATTGCAAGGTTTAATTTAATTTATAGTGTTTGAATGTTGATAATATTACATTCAAATTTACTTAGGTGACAATTAAATGTACGTTGTCTTGGTATGGCAATCAAGGACAGAGATAAAATGACGAATCTATCGCTTTGCCATGCATTCTACGTTAAGTGCCTTCAAAGAATTCATTTGTACATATCACTTGACAAGCTGATATATGGAATTACTCAGCACAGTAAATTTATTAAAATAAAAATAAAATAGAATGATGGATATATGCAAATAAGATTCTAAATATGATTCGATGAATACTATATTTGACTTAAAAGTTATCTTTCCCTTTGCTTAATCAGAGAGGATACACCTATTCTCTCTAAGTGGGCCAACTCAGAATCCTTCCTCGTCTCAATTTTCATTGCTTGTTAGCTAATTAGTTCCTCTTCCTTTTATGATATTACTTTCTGTTATAAATATAAACCCTAATTTATCACAAACTGGGTCTTATATGTAAAATCAAATGTATAGTGTTGTTCAACTATATATGTAATCATACATCAATCAACAGTAGATCAGGACCCCAAAAATTAAAAATAATACAAATGTCTATCAGGAATTTTAGCTGAATGTTCAATTGATTTTATCAGGAATCGGCCTATTATTTAACCTGGACATCTATGAAAAGAAAAATGGTAAATTGATTCAATGCAAAATCAAGCACCTATCCACCCGTGGTTCGTCAATAAACTAATATCCTAACCAATTCAATCCCATCCGTTTCTAACAATATTAAGTTAAAAGTCTATGCTAATAATAATAATAATACAAAAAAAAAGTCATACTATTTATAAATGCAACTCATTTTTAGGACTTTGTATAAGGTACACAATTCTTATGTCGTATTAATATTATCTCCAATTCTAATTATAAGACCTCATTTATAGTTTCCAATAACTGAAGTTTTATAATTAGGACCGGAGGTAGTATAATGCAATATAATATAAAAATGGTACTATTTATGATCCATAAATAGGTTATCATAACCGCCATTCAATAGATTGAAATTCATGTGAACAAAATGAGAAGGACCATCTTAAACATATGCAAAACACGAACTATGCAATTTCTTTTGTTAAACATGATCCCTAGTCCCTAGTGACTTCAATATAATAGTTGAAAATTGAAATTGAAACGAGATGGTCGATCAGAGAATCTCCATAAATTTGAAATTTCCAAGAGTGAATCTGGTCCCTGGTCGGTGGTACGTGTCAGCTTCTGATTAGTCATATTGTTACGATCCCAAGCAGCTACCATCATAGTTAGTGTAGTACCCCATTCTCACCGACTCTTATTAGCTTGTTTCCGCAAATTAAAAGCCTTTTTCAAGGTTTTCAGATTCTGGGTTACGAACAAGTACGAACCTTTCCCAGTAAACAAAGCCATACCATTCACCCCTTTTAAGCATTCTTCTCCGTCGTCGATCCTGATTCTCCAACAACCTTCATCTCTCTCTATATATAAAACCTGTTTCTGAATTCTGATCTTTACATTCGATCACCTCCATTATCAACAAAAATGGCCAATCACTCTTCTGAGTCTTGTATCTCTTTCCATCTCTGTTTCTTCCTTCTTACTTTGTTCATCTTCCTGGGTTTCTCATGGTACTCGAACTACGAGGAAATAGTTGAGAGCTTCGTGGACCAAGTGAAGATGCTGGTAATGGTGTCCCCTCTGATTCTGCTACTGACACTTCACTTGATGTCCAACTATGGAGGAGGATATTGGGGGAGAGGGGCATTTTCGTCTTTGATTCCTTTGCCGGAGAAAGAGTCGCTTCACAGAGCCGGAGGTACGCCGTGGGGAGTTGGGTTGCTTCTTGTGGTTGTATTGTTCATGGTGTCTCATCAATCTTCTTTCCAAGAACGATGGCTCCATCTACTTTCCAGGAGTGTATATCTGTGTGCGTGTGGCATTTTTCTTATGTATTGTAGGCTTTTGTGTGGATACGTAGATGTTTGATGAATTTGATGTTACCTCTTGTTAATCCTTCTACATTGACAATGTAATCCTTGAAAGGACTGTAAATGCTTAAGAGAATGTTTAGATTAGCTTTTTAGAACTAACTTTACCTTGTTATAAGTAAAAATATAAGATGAGTTTTATTTCGACTGGCATAAAAGTATTTTTTTAAAAATAATTCTATGATTCTCAAACTTCACCTAAATCATTGTTTCATAATTTCAGTTGGTTTTAATTAAATAAAAAACTCTTTTTAATTATTATTTGAAGTTTTAACTTTAAAAAGATGAGCTTTTCATTTTTTTTCAATTTAAAAATAAGTTATGTTATCTATTTGTCTACTAATGACAATTCTTCTAATAATACAGCAAAGTTTCAAGCCAAAAAACAACAAAGATCTTAATAATGAAGGAAGCACAAATATTATTGATTATCTCATGTTTATTAAAACATGAAAAAAAAAAAGTTGAATCAACATGAATTCATCAACATTTAATATATAACAAATTACGCTGCTTATAGACTATTAACAGAGCAATTCATCTATCATCTTGTACCATACAAGATATCCACATCTACTAATAAAAGTTCTTATAAAGTTTTATTCAAAAAAAAGAACTTACAAAGTATAAGAAAGTAAATTTCAACATTTCATTTTAAAAGTTGATCAAGAGTTTATTCATGAAAGACTGGATTCAAGAAAAAAGTCTTTTACATTGTTCTTCTCTTTAAAAACTTTAAAGATGAATTTTAATCTAATAATTTGAGGTGATTTATATATATATTTTAAAACATTCTAGAAGAATCTAGAAAAATCCCATATGGCTGCTGCATACGGGACATTCTTCGAGTCAAAGAAATGAACTTGAAAGTTTCATATATAGTAAGCCTCTTCCTTCTTCAAACTAAACAAAACAAAATTTCACAATCACATGCCAACATTGACTGCAAAACTGTCTGTGGGCTCGGATTGGCCCGTTTCATTGGGCTTGGCTTGGACGTGATCCACGATGCTCCAATCCTTTTGTTTTTAAAAGGAAAATTACAATGAGATATTAAGAAAGACAAATACTTACAAAATAAGTCTTAAAAGTTGTTATTTCCTATTCTAAAACTTTTCATTATAAAATGTTTAAATTGTTATTGAGATTTTTTAGTAATTATTTTTCTTTCTTAAAACCTTATTATAATTCTCTTTTTCTTTTTTCAGACCATGACGGTTCTGGCTCCAATCACATAACCTTGGGATATATTCTCAGTTTCAATTTTATATTATATAACCAACTGCTGTTAGGTCTGGCAAAAAAAAAGTTAATTACTCACAATATAGTAAATTAAAGTTTGAATATATGTTAAAAGAAGTGTCTTTGTTTGATGCTCGATAATATATCAAACAAAATTATTTCTAATAAAAGAATATTTATACATATCAACAAAAAAAATATATTTTAAAGATGTCTAAAGACCACGTCTTTAAGTAGACACAACTCTTATTCATTTATGTGCAACATATTTTTCACTGTATACAAATATTTTTTATTTTGTGCATATATCGTTAAAAATAGGTCGCATGTAATCAAAGAAGAATTGCGGCCATTAAAAATATATTATACCTGATTTGAACAAATTTTCATATTACACCTGAATCCTTAAACAAATTTTAAGAATCTTTAGGCAATAAATTTTGTTATGGGAGATATTTTTTTAAGAAATTTTTTTGAAGAAAATCTTCAAATTTTGGACTTTCGTAGTTCACACAGGGAGAACATGAGAAGCACATAAACCACAAAGATATCTTCTTAAGCAGCCCTATTGTCGGCTTTTGTTTGTCATTATTAAAGTTAAGTAAACGCAGAATCGCTTCGCTGCTTTTCTGCTTCTATAAACATTCTTCACATCAACGTTCAACCCTTTCTGCGACGCACAAAATAATATGACAACATTATACTCATCCTTGCCCAGAACAAATTAATCGGTAAATCTGAAATTTATTTTCTTGCCATTTTGTTGCTTCATTTCATTACAGTATTAAATTTAGTTCCTTAAGACACCAAAATTGTTTCCCTATCTTGACCAGAGCATAAAAAGACACAGGTAAGAAATTTAAAGATTTTTTATTTAAAAAAAAAAAAAAGAGCAGAAGAGTTTTGAGTCTCTAACCTTTACTCATAACTTACTCAACCTTTTTCATTTTAGTTACCCTCAAGTGGCTATACTTACCCATACTTTCTAGCAATGTCTCTCTCTAACTATATCATATGTATTTATTTTTTTGATTTCAAAATATGTAAGCTGATGATATTTCCTAAGAAACAAACCCCAATCCCACCAAGCTAACAACGTGGGTTGGGATTTACATGTCAGTCTCCTTCAACGAGTATGTGTATATATATACATATATAGTGCTAACATCGAATCTTTTTGCGGTGAACGACTTTTTCTTTAATCAGATCGAGAAGGTAAATTAGTTAGGCCTAACTATGTAGCACTGTTAACTAAAAGGAAAAGCAACTGATAAAACAACATGATAGAGAACATGTGAACTTTCATGGTACAGAACGATAATATAAGGGAAAGAGTAGAGACTATGAGACAGGCTGGGATCAATATAATAACCAGAGTCTATCCTCTTGGTCCTTCTGCGACTCATTGGGGTAAATTGGATTTGTAAATGAACTGCTAATCACAAAGATGGAATCAGATGCATCTGATCATTGATATTCCAAGGGAACCCTCTTTTAGGCTTTATTCTTGATAGCCCCATTTTAGGCTTAGCTTTCTGCTTTTCTCTCAACTAGGGCTCCTCCAGTCTTAATTCTTTAGCCCACCCTCCATGTTCATCAATGCCTTGTGAAGCTTTTTATGTCAAACACATGCCTCTTTTTCTTTTTTTTCCCCCTCTTCCTTTCATCTCCTCTTTCCCTATTGACTTTATTAAAATCTCAACCATTTTATAATCACATACCTAAAGGCTTTGGGGAAAAAAAAGACCATTGAAAGAGCAAATGAGATGCAGATAAGAACAACAGCCAAACACCAATGGATTTCCATCTGAAGGTGCAGATTGAATCCTTTTGGTGAAGGGATTTTAGACAAATTTCTGCAAAAAGAAGCATAAATGAAACTTTGTTCCTAAAGCATAAGCCTACAAAGAAGGAGGGAAAAAGAAAATGTAATGCACAAGAAAGAGCACCACCATCATCTGCTTATCTTTTTCTATTCAGCTAATTTCATACACGCTCCATTCATACCCACTGGTAAAAGCCTAAAAGAATAATGAAAAGTTATTGACATAGACGACCATATACAATTATGCAGATAATTTGATGTGCAAATTACATAGACAAGATCATCAGCTCTCTAGATCGGCATTTTATCATTCAAATATTGTGCATTCTAACCTGATCTGAATTACAATGAGTTACTGTTTTTACAAAAGAAAGGTGAAAGAAATATACAAGCTATTTGAAAAGTTTTTCATACACATGGTATACCAATTGATTGTACAAGTAGCCAATAGAAAGTCGTCAAAGAGTGTTTTAAGTAGTGGGGTTCATTGACATACCCATTTTAGTGAGATTTTGTTGCCTATTTGGTGCAGCTAGCCAGTGCAATAGTGATCAGTGATTTCCATTCACATGGTGCAGTAAAACAAGAAGATCATCAGCAGGTACAAAATCTCCCCCTCCTCATTATCATCTTCTGATATGGTGCTCATCATGACTGAGTGATTATGTTTAATTCTTCTTAAGAACATTCTCTGACACCTGAAGCTCAAGTTACAAGACAAATAAGAGGAAAAAAGATAAAGTGGAGAGTGGTACTGTGATTCGTCAAGATGGAAACAAAAGCAGATTCTACAGGACAAATACCCCGTTTGTTCTGCATGCACGCCGCTGAGTTATATACCCTATATTACCTCCTTTACACCTTTACTGAAACTAGCCACCGCGCGTGCAAGTATGAAATCCATAGTCTACCATTCCAAGATGCTTATGATGGGAAAACTTTGAGTGTTGACAAATAAGCCTATAAACTTTATAAGAACACTGAGATACTTGCAGAAAAACCGCACAAAATACAGCATTCAAATTATTATTAAGCATACACAATCAATATTATTCAAGTAAGAAGCCATAATTTTCCTTTTCAGTGATGTATTTTGTGGAGCCTGCGAACGGAACTAAGTATCGCACTCAAGTGATTATGCAGAAATCAACGGGAGTGAATAACAGAAATAATCCATAAAATGGAAGTTTGACTCTATGGAAAAATACTCAGAGCATTTTCGTTGATTTGATATGTGTAGCCCACGCTTTGAAAGATGAGGAAGCGGGTAAGCGCATCCTCTACAGGCAAAAGCAAAAGCAAAAGCAGAGAGGGGTCGACTTCATCTTTAACTTTATCTTTTGTCTGCTCCGTTTCTTTTCTTCCCTCAAAACAGTGGCTTTATCAGCATCTGTTCCCGCTTTGGGCTGTAGATAAGAAGAAAAGTGACATATTGATTCTTAGTATAATAAGTTCCGGGGTCACAGACAAAATCTCAGTCCAGTAGCTTCCATTATCCAGCCAAGAAGACAAACACTGAAAGACCGATACAGAGAAGAAAAACAGAGCAAAAATGGAGATATTGTCACAATTGTGGTCGTTGTTAGGCTTGCTCACCGTACTTCAGAATGTCTTACCGTCACAGCTACTCTCTCTCCTCCATTCCTCCTACGAGACTCTCACGGATTTTCTCTCCCCACACTCTTACTTCGAAATCCCCGAGTTCAATGGCTACTGTGGCGTCGACCTCAATGATTTGTACCGCCATGTTCACCTCTACCTCAACTCCGTCAACCACTCCGCCGCAGCCGGTTGCCGCCGCCTCACCCTTTCTCGGTCTAAGTCCTCCAATCGCATTTCCTATACCGTCGCCCCCAATCAGACTATTCACGACACCTTTGAAGGCCACCGTCTCTCCTGGACTCACCACGTCGAGACGGTGCAGGACTCACTGGAGGAGAAGCGGAGCTTCACTCTGCGGCTGCCGAAGCGCCAGCGTCAGACCCTTCTCTCGGCCTACCTCAGTCACGTGACCGCACGTGCGGAGGAGTTCGAGCGAGTCTCGAGAGAGAGGAGGCTATTCACCAACAATGGAAACGGATCATTCGAATCGGGTTGGGTCTCTGTTCCGTTCCGGCATCCTTCCACGTTTGACACACTGGCACTGGATCCTGAGTTGAAAAAACAGATAAAAAACGACCTCACTGCATTTGCTGAAGGCAGAGAGTTCTATCATAGAGTGGGTCGGGCATGGAAGCGTGGGTACCTACTATACGGTCCACCCGGGTCTGGAAAATCGAGTTTGATCGCAGCTATGGCGAACTTCCTCTGCTACGACGTCTACGATCTTGAGCTCACCAAGGTGTCTGATAATTCCGAGCTGAGGTCATTACTGATACAAACGACGAACCGCTCCATCATCGTGATCGAAGACATTGATTGCTCGGTGGACTTGACGGCGGACAGGAAGACGAAGAAGACGACAATGACGAAGTCGAAAACAATGAGAGCAAAAACGGCGTCGTCGTCGGACTGCTCGAAGGATGAAAGCGGACGGGTTACTCTATCGGGGCTCCTGAATTTCACGGATGGGCTGTGGTCGTGTTGCGGAGAAGAGAGGATCATCGTCTTCACCACGAACCACAGAGACAATGTGGACCCTGCTCTGGTACGTTGCGGGAGAATGGACGTGCATGTCAATCTCGGCGCGTGCGGGATGCATGCGTTCAGGGACCTGGTCAGGAACTACCTGGGGTTGGAATCGCACGCTCTGTTCGACGCGGTGGACAGCTGCATAAGGTCCGGTGGGTCTCTTACGCCTGCTCAGATCGGCGAAATGCTGTTGAGGAACAGAGGAGATGCTGATGTGGCCATGAGGGAGGTGGTGTCGGCAATGCAGACGAGGATGCTCACGGTGGCCGCCGCTGGTGGTGGGGGAGGTGGACAATGGGAGCAGACGGATAATGAAGAGACAGTGGGAGGAAGGTCGCCGGAAAGCGTGCTGATGATGGGGTCGCCTGAGAATTGGGACTCGTTGAGCTGGAAGAAGAGGAAGGAGAGTGGGTCCAATTGCGATAAAAAACCGAAGTTTTTGGTGAGGTTGAAGTCGTTGACCAAGTCAGAGTCAGGAAGAAGAGTTTTGACCCCAGAAAAATCTAAAAGTTGTAATTTTCCTTTATTTTAGTGATTCACAAATTTTATTGTGTTATTATTATTATTTTTGTTAACTTCTTCTCAATCCATGATTGGGCTAATTTAGGGTGTTTTGGTCGGCAAAAACAAAGTTTTAGGGTGGTTTGATTTGCTCACTTCAATAATCTACGGTGTCAGGTGTATTTTTTGAAAAATTCGGACAACACAAAATTACATCTAATTTAGTTTTAGTGAAACAGATTTACTAAAATAGCTCAAGGCTGAAATACTAATAGCATGAAATCAACTTTATTTAAAGAAGTTTAATTTATTTTTGTGAAGTAAATAATTAATATACGGAGTTGAAAAAACTTGAAAGGGTCATCAATTATTTATAGGTCAGGTGGCAATGGTTTTTAATTCAAAAGGGCAAACTTTGATTCTTGGAAAAATTCTAAAAAAAATCCTTGGAATATAAAAAATTTCAGATTAAGTCCTAGAATTTTGAAAATAACAGAAAGGGTCAATGACACAATTTATCATTTGTAAAATCAAGAGGAATTGACAACTTTTCCCTCATTTGTATTCATTCACTACAATGATTTAAAGAATCACTGTAAGGGTTTAGGCGTTACTTAAATTCGTATAGCGAATAACTATTCACTTTTTCATAGTCAGGTGTTTTTTTATTAATTACAACTAATTTTGTAATCACTAAAACAATATAAGTATTACCTAGATTCATGTAGAGAATAACTACTCATTTTTTCACAGTCAGGTACCTTATTATTAACTACAACTAATCTTGTAATCACTAGAATAGTGTAAGCGTTACCTAGATTTGTTTAGAGAATAACTACTCATTTTTACTTAGCCAGGAGCAAAATTGTCAATTTGTCTTAATTTTACAAATGACAGATTGAGTCACTGATCCTTTCTGTCATTTTCGAAATTCTATTACCCAATCTGAAATTTCCTATATTCTAAGGATTTTTTTTTTGGAATTTTTCTTTGATTCTTTCTGTCTCTATTTAAGATAACAGGAATTTTGAACTTCTAAAATAGGTTTCTCCCCCCCCTCCCCCCCAAAAAAAAAACTTAAAGGACCAATCAAGTTTACAAAGGAATAATAAATCCCTTTAATGCCATTCCCAGTCACATTTATAAATCGAGCTTTTGCTGATCTTATATCCTCTCGTTGCAGCTTCAACTCAATTTTACCATGAACTGCTTTTTGAGACTTAGCTTCTTGATTTTATTTTTAATTCAATTTGGATCCTTTACAGTGATAAAAGTGGTTGTGGAGAATATATTCAAACTTCAATGAGAGCAAAAGAAATAATAAATAGAGAGAGAGGTTCTGAGCTTTTCCATGTCACCGGTCGAAGGTACGATGGGGAAATAACCCCCTGACCGACCCAGGGGCGGAAGGGAGGAGGAAGAACGAGGAAGCAAACGTGAACAAATCAGTAATGAGCTAAACAAAGATGAAAAGATGAACTGGGAAAATGGAGAAGTACCAATGGAGGATGTACAGGAAGGGGTAGAAATACGGGGAAAATTGCAAAAAACCAATGGCCTATTCTCAGGAGAAATCTCACTGCAGCGTAGAGAGGAGGAATGGATGCAAGGGGAAGAGGTGCATAACAATTGTATCACGACACAAGCCATGTCGTATCGGGAAGCACTGAAACCAAAGGGCAACCGAAAACCAAACAAGGAAAGTGAGGTAAGGGAAGAGGAAATGTGGGATGGAAATTTGCTGTTTGAAAATGAAATGGAACTTGAACGAGGGGTCAAAGTCACTGATACAGCTATGGGACCTCATATCGAGTTCTCAGAGGAGGAAAGGAGACGATTAGAGCAAAAATGGCAAAACACACTGATCATAAAACTGTTAGGGGGGAGGTTGGGTTTCATGCAGATGAAAAGGAAAGTTCAACAAATGTGGGGGAAAGCAGGAAATGTAGAATTAAATGTGATCGGAAACGGATACATGTCAGCCACATTTCAAGACTGGGATGACTATCATTTCGCACTAGAAGGAGGACCATGGATTATCCAGAATCATTATCTAACGATTCAGACTTGGAAAAGAAACTTCAACCCCTGGACAGAAAAGATCAAAAGGATAGCGGTGTGGGTCCGTCTCCCTGGACTACCTAGAGATTACTATGACAAAAAATTCTTTTACCACCTTGGTAACAAGATTGGGAAAGCCATTAAAGTTGATGAAATGACACTCACAAGAGCAAGAACAATGTATGCCAGGATGTGTGTTGAGATAGACCTAAATGCTCCCCTCCTGCCGGCATACATAGTAGATGGGAATCACCTCAAAATTGAATATGAGGGTCTCCAATTAATCTGTTTTGCCTGTGGAAGATTTGGGCATGACAAGGAACATTGTTTAACAAAGACACAGAAGGAACATCAAGGAGAGAAGGAGCAGCGAACACCACAAGAGAATACACAGCTCGTCGGCGAGGTAAGTCCGGCGAAGAACCCAGAAAAGGTGACAGAGGAAAAGTTTTGGGAGTGGATGATTGCACAGTATCCGAGAAGGGGCAGGAAGGTAGCAGGTAGAGAAGGTAAAAGTACTGAGCAGCAGAAAAAAAAACTGTCAGAAGAGTATCGGAAGAAGTGGAAAAATCCTCAAGATTCGCCGTTTTAGAGACAGAGGAAGTGACAGGTGAAAAGGACATAACCGAGGAAGTAGAAAGAAGACCTCTGAAAGAAATTTCAAGCCCAGAGCTACAGGGGAGAAAAAAAGGTAACAAGACGCAGGAATTAAGAAGAGAATCTGACAAGAATGACGGTGATCAGATGGGATTTGGAAAAGAGACAGAAAAGGCAAGCAAAAAGGTAGAAAAAAGAGAACAAAAGAAAAGTGATAAACAAGAAATGCAAATGGGGCCTGGACGGGAATCATTGATGGAAGGTGACAAAATGGGCTTGCAAGGAAGAATAGTTAATGGGTCGAAGCAAGGGGTTAACAGGGAGAGACTAAGTGGGCCAATGGAGGACAGGGAGGAAGCAAACAAAAAAACTGAACAGGAAATCACTAGGCCAATAGAAGAAGACAAATTAACCGGACAATATAGTGAGGAGGTTAGCATAAAACATTCACTTGAGTCATTAACGGATCAAGTTAAAGACTCAATGGAATGTGAGGAAGATAAGCCACCAGACCCAAACAAGAATGTGGAAGCATTGGGCCTATCAGATGTTGGTAATCAACTAAAAGGAAATGAGGAAGGGAACCAAGTAGAGAGGGTGCTTACAGGGAACCGGGAGACGACCTATGAATTCTCCCAACCATTGAGAAACTAGCGAACTTCAAGGTGAGTTTTTTGCTCTCATAAACTCTATTTGTGTTTATGATTTTTACGTGGAATGTGAGAGGAGCAGTCAGCCGTGAGTTCGGTACTGCATTCAAAGAACTAAGAAGGAAGTTTAAGCCAAAGATAGTGGTACTAGTTGAGACTCGCTGCTATGGTGAGAAAGCAAAACAAGTGATAAAACGTTTGGGTCAGAAAAAACATATCCTAATGGATGCGCAAGGAATGTCAGGCGGGATCTGGATTCTATGGGATGATGAAAACATTAACATCACGATGATAGAGTGCAACAAGCAATTCATTCATTGTGAAGTCAATGGATTGGGGAGTTGCAGGTGGTGGTTCACAGCAGTATATGCAAACCCAAGAGAGTGGGAGAGGCGCGAACTATAGGCCTACCTAGAAACATTTGCAGAACAATGTCAAGGACCATGGATGCTGGCAGGAGATTTTAATGACATAGCAAGCAGTGAAGAACAAAGAGGAGGAGGTGGGGTGAACGTCAGAAAATGTGCCAGATTTTGGGAAAGAATTGACAAATGTAAACTTCTAGACTTAGGTTCGAAAGGACCCAGGTTTACCTGGAGGGGACCCATCATGGCGCATGGCAACAGAATGTATAAAAGATTGGACAGGGCTCTTTGCAACGTAGCTTGGAGAAATTGTTTCAGTGAAGCATCTGTCAAGGTGGGTCCAAGAATTCAATCAGATCATCACCCACTGCTTATTTACCTACACACAAAAAAAGGGAATAAAGAAAGGAGACCATTCAGATTTGAAGCAATGTGGATGCAACACGAAAACTTCAAAAACTGGTTGAAAGGAAACTGGAGGGGAGAATGCAATATCTGGAAAGAACTTGAAGAGCTAGAAACCAAGTTAATAAGCTGGAATGAAACTACCTTTGGACATGTTGCAAAACAAAAGAGAGAACTTCTGGGAAGAATAGCAGGAATACAGAAAAAATCACAAACCCATCAGTGGCCACACTTAGAAAAACTGGAAGATAGACTGAAAGGGGAGTTGGAAAAAATCCTGGAAAGGGAAGAAACATTGTGGTTCCAAAAAGCAAGAACGAAGTGGCTTAATGATGGAGACCGTAATACAAGGTTCTATCACACAAAGACAAATATCAAAAGAAGAAGAAACAGAATTAGCATGCTGAAAAATGATCAAGGTGAATGGGTGGAAGGGAAAGAAGAAACAGGAAAATTAATGAACACTTTCTTCAAAAAATTGTTCGAGGAAGAGGAAGAAAACAGAGAATGGTGCAGAACTACACATAAATGGCCATCCGTAACTGATGAGGAATGAGATAGCATTAATAGACCAATTTGTGAAGAGGAGACTAAAGAGGCTATGTTCACTATTGGGGGAATGAAAGCACCGGGGGAAGATGGATACCCAGCCATATTTTTCCAAAAGAATTGGGAAATAGTGGGAAAGGAAGTGTGCACGGCTATAAGGAGAATGTGGGAGAATCCAGAAGCAATAGAGGAAGGAAACAGAACACTTATTACTCTTATACCGAAAGTGGAACCACCAGAAAAGGTAAGTCAATTCAGGCCGATTTCTCTGTGTAATGTAGTGTACAAATGTTTAACAAAGATCATTGTGAAGAGATTTAAAAACATCATGGCAAAAATAGTCTCCCATTATCAAGCTAGTTTTGTACCCGGAAGGAATATACATGATAATATTATTATTGTGAATGAAATGGTCCACTCAATGAGAAGAAAAAAGGGCAAGAAAGGAATTATGGCAATCAAAGTAGACCTAGAGAAAGCCTATGACAAAATAAGTTGGAAGTTTGTGGAAAATGTGCTGAAGGAAATAAGATGCCCTCAAAGCATGTTAGAAAGGATCATGGGGTGTATTAGCACCACAAAAACTCAGATCTTATGGCATGGCGAAAAGATGGATGAGTTCAAGCCATCCAGAGGCTTGCGATAGGGTGACCCGCTCTCCCCGTATCTATTTGTGCTCGGCATGGAAAAGCTCACACACCTTATCCTAGACAGAGTGAGAGAGAGAAAATGGAGAGCAATGAGAGCTGGTAGAGGAGGACCAACTATCTCACATATGATGTTTGCAGACGACCTCGTGTTGTTTGCGGAGGCTTCTACTGACCAAATTGATATTGTTTTAGATTGTTTGCAGGTTTTTGCACTCATGTCAGGACACAAAGTCAGCAGAGAAAAAACTCAGGTGTTTTTCTCTCCAAACGTGGCTACTCATATAAGGAGAGAAATCTGCAGGAGAAGCAAGTTTCAACAGGTGGAGGACCTTGGCCGATATCTAGGAGCAGATATATCATTCCCTCGCAAAAGAAGAGAGAAGTACACCAAGATAATCGAGAAAGTGAAAAAGAGATTGAAGGGGTGGAAAGCAGATAGCCTTTCATTGGCGGGGAGATTAACATTAGTAAACTCAATAACAAACACCATGGCCTTATACCCAATGCAGCACGACCGCTTGCCTCAAGGAGTGATAGATAGGCTGGAGCAGGAGCAACGAAGGTTCATTTGGGGAGAAACAGAAGATAGAAAGAAGTGGCATGCACTCTCTTGGACAACACTCTGTAAATCAAAAATAAGTGGGGGGCAGGCATCAAATCTTTGAAGGCCATGAATGATGCTTTTCTGCTAAAATTACACTGGAGGACAGCAACTAACCCCGAGGAACTATGGGTGAGAGTTTTAAAGGGCAAGTACGAAGAGCGAGATAGAGAGGGGGGAGGAGAAATGGCGAAACAAGGAGATTCCAGACTATGGAAGGAGATGGTGAAACTGAGACCACTATTCGAAAGCAATATTAATGTGGACATAGTACAGGGGAGAGAGAGACTCAAATGGAAACCCAATGGAGATCGTAAATTCACCACGGCTAGCACATACAAGGAACTGACGGAAGAGAGATGTGGTCAAACGAGTAGAGTATGGAAGAAAATCTGGAAACTCAAGGTTCCAGAAAGAGTCAAAGTGCTTGTGTGGAGGGCAAAACATAAACGACTTCCAACTAAAGCGCTGACTCAAAAGTGGGATAACTCAAATGGGGAATGTGAAATATGTCAAACAGCAATGGAGGACATAATGCATGCTTTACGTGACTGCCCCTATGCGAAGATGATATGGGAAAGTTTAGTCTCGGTGAAATATTGAGAACCATTCTTCAACATGGAATGGGAACAATGGCTCGACCAAAACTTAAGCTTCAGAGGAAAAGCAGGGAAAGAGGTGAACTGGCTAGAATATTTCGCTATAAGTTGCTGGCATATATGGAAGTGGAGGAACAGGCAAGTCCATGATCAAAATGCGAAAATACCTGGAAACGCCAAAGGGGTGATAGAGGAGTATTTCCAAATTTACAAGAAACGACAAGATCAATGGAGGGAGAGGAACTCGGATGAAGATTCATTGTTAATTAGATGGCATCCACCCCAGGGAGACTGGTGCAAGGTTAACACTGATGGGATGAAGGACCGAAATGGTGTAGCCGAATGTGGGGGAGTAGTTAGAGGCACGGAAGGTGAATGGTTGGGGGGCTTTACATGCAAATTAAATAGCTGTGATGCGGAAAGAGCAGAGGTCTGGGGGATTATAGAAGGGTTAAAGATGTGCTGGAGAATGGGACTAAGAAAAATCATCATTGAAGCAGATGCAGAAGTCGTAATCAAACAGATAAATAGCAACAGTGAAATTGCTGGGGACCCATTCCTCACGAAATATTTAAGAGATCTGATGAAGCAGGATTGGCAGCTGAAATTCCAACACGCATACAGGGAAAGCAACAGATGTGCCGATAAATTAGCGAAGAAAAGCGCTTACCTGGAAGAAAGTTGGGTGCTGTGGGAGTCACCGTCGAGAGATATTCTTGACATCCTCCACGAAGACGCTGCAGGAATAGTATTCATTAGAGGATCGGACACGTAGTTGTTACTCACTCTTTTGTCACCGAAAAAAAAAAAGAAATAATAAATACTCTTCTGATTCTCAATATAAAACCTATTTAACTACTTTGATTAAATTAAAAAAATTAATTAAGTAATAATCATAAATATGGCATATGTTTCTCAAAATACCCTTAGTTAAAATTTCTATAAAAACTGACATTTCAAAAAATGTTTTAAATTATTTTATTAAAAATATAAAAAAAAATAGAATTGATATATGTGTGGAATTAATAAGTTATAAGTATTCACTCACTTTATAAAATATATAGGTGTATTATTAATGAGTAATAAGTATTATTGTAGTATTTAATTATTTAATAAAGATAATTTAGAAAAGCAGTAGTAAATATAATAAATAGGTCCTATATTTAAAATCAAGATCAACCATCTAATTATATCCTATATTAAGAATCGGATGCGTATAATGCAAGCACATAATTATAAAATGTACGTAATGCACGTGTTACGTTCTTTTGTATGAATTTTTTCTTTAAAAAATTCACGGATGAAAAAAAAAACTCAGTTTGTCTAACATAGGATATTTTTACATTTTTAAGAAAAAATAGAAGAGAAATTCCCGTTCTTATTTATAGTAATAAGTTTGCATTATTTTCACCCAATAATTTTTTTGTGTAAAAGAAAAAACAAAATATTAATTAATTAATTAAGAAATTAGGTAAGCGGGTCTTCACACATCACATACTACGTTATCTAAAATTTTAAAAATTATTATTCATATTATCCCAACATCAGCCTGACACAGGTGGGGTTATCTCCAAGGATCTGAACCTTCCTTTTAAAGAGCCAAGCTCCATGCACTGCATAGACCCTGAATTCCACTTCACGTGCGTGCGCATATCTAATCCAATTATATATTCCTTCCTTTATTATTCTCTTTTTTAAGTACATAACCAAATAAATAAGAAAAAATAATATTAAAAAAAATTAAAAATTACAATATTCTAATTTAGACATTAAAAAGAAGTCAAAATCTCAAAAAAAAAAAGAAGTGATGTCTAATTTGATATTTTATAAATATAGTTAAATTACAAAAATATCTTTGTATTAAAAAGTTTATTAACAAATTGTGAACGGCCAACTACCAATGTTAAATAGCAAATGGCAAAAGATGTACTAACATGATAAGTTATTCATTAATAAGTTATGAATTGGTAATAACAAGTATTAAATAAATAATAATAATAAATATTTTGATAATGACAAATTTAATAATTTTTTTGAGAAAAAATGATAAAAAGACATTTTAATCGTTTAACTATATTTTTAAAATACCAGACCAAGCGTCATTTTCTCTTCTGAATTTTGACTTCTTAGATACCTTAATTAAAATATTACAATTTTTAATTTTTTATGTCATTTTCCCAATAAATAATTATGATCCATCAATATCAATATTTCAATTCATCAGTATAACCCACAGATATGCAGCTTGAAGCATCTCCATTCTCAAACTCACAGATTGCTGTAAAAACCAGTGGCTTAGATTCACCGATTCGTGAAAATATCCCCCTGGTATTTTCGTAATTTCAACTTGCACCCCCAACGTCTTTATCTTGATCTCTCCGGTCAATCTCTTTCTCACACAGTCACACCGCTAAGTACAGAGCGAGCGAGCGAGAGAGACATGGGGGTGGTGATAATCGACGGCACGACGGTAAGGGACTTCGTGAGAAATGAAGAACAGTTCAACAAGAGCGTGGAGGAGCAGTTCGGGACACTGGATCTCAACAACGACGGCGTTTTGTCGCGAGGGGAGCTCCGGAAGGCGTTCGAGTCCATGAGGCTCATCGAGACGCATTTCGGGATCGACGTTGCCACTCCGCCGGACGAGCTCACCAAGCTCTACAACTCCATCTTCGAGAAGTTCGACGTCGACGGCAGCGGCACCGTAGACAAGAGCGAGTTCAAGTCGGAGATGAAGAAGATCCTGCTCGCCATCGCCGATGGTCTTGGCTCTTTTCCGATTCAGATGGTTCTCGAAGACGATAACCAGGGTTTCCTTCAGAAAGCTGCAGATCTCGAAGCTTCCAAATTAAATCAGGCTCGAACTTGATGGTTTTCGAGCTCTTCTTCCCTGCCCTATTCAGCTTAATGTCACTGTGTGTTTTTCATCCGCGAAGTATATTTTCTTGTTGCGTAAATCAGCTTGATTATGAGAATTTTCACGCGTCACAATTTTTTTCTTCCAATTTGTATATATGACTTATAGAGAACGCTAAATATGAGAAAAGATATTAACTTCCATCATGTCAATTCCGACTGGATGGCTTAATTAATCAATCAATTATTTAATTAAAGAGGGTAAAACAAGAAATCCCACAATGATTGATGAGTAGTCTGTACTTTCAATTAATTAAAACAAATCCAATTTAATTAGATCTTAATTTCCCATTCATAACTTACAAATGAGCTAGTAATATGATATCAAGTGTATATTGCCAAGAACTTGTTATATGTTCACTGACTTTTTTTAATGTTAGTAATGTGGTATTGTTGTCAAACCTCTTTAACTTTGGGGCAAAGAACTTGTAATTGTGAATTTGTTATAAAAAAAAAACCGTAGAATTAGAAAAATTGCACATCGGACCGGTTCATAAAAATTGTTGGCAAAACATATACTTCTCCAATCCTTAATATAAAACCTATTTAATTAATTTGATTAAATTAAGGAAGTTAGGTAAGTTAGTTAATTATAAGAAAAGTGACACATTTTTCCTAAAATACCATAATCATATTTCTTAATACCCATCTCCCTCTTCTACTTGATTATAGTTGAGGGAGTATTTATAGGGGTAATTTAGAGAAAATTGATAAATATAAGAAATGGTTCTTATATTTAGGACCAAAACCAACTCAAAAATTAGGTATTATATTAAGGACCGGAGGAGTACTAATGTTTTCAAAATCCATACTAATGTTGTCATGTGTCTCAATTTGTAGTTTTTCTTATTTCACGGTCTTTTTTTACAATTTTCTCAAAAAATTAATGTATTTGCTTGGTCTAAAAAGTTTAAATAAATTGTATCTCGAGAACTTACTAAGATTAGGATATACCTCAATATTCAATGAGTACTTACAGATTTTTACTAATAAGATACTCATGTCGACAACAGAATTGAAATTCACAACTCTATGAGTTATGAGTCAACTACTTAACAACTGAATCAATCTTTGTTGGAGGAAGTTTATTGTATTTTTTTCATAATTAATACAAGTAATGTGTGTAAATATGAATGAATGAAGGAATGCTGAAGAGTGAAGAATGATGCAATGATCAGACTATTAGTGTCTAATCATGGAGACTTAAAGAAGGAGGAAGAGACAAAAACAATGAGAAGGTTGACATAGTGAAAAAGCGAAATGGGAAGCTTGTGTGGAGTTATCACGAGGCACCAGCCACAAAGTATGGTGGTTGTGGATATGAAGCAGAGAGATGACACTTTCCATGAGTGAAAGTGGAAGGGATAGATATGAGTCTTGGGGGAAGGAAGTGGTTGGATTGTGTGGTGATGTGTTCTATCTCTGGTCATTTCTTTATAGCAAGTTAGTTACTTGTATCCATTCATTCATTGTTAATCTAAATGGTTTGTATTTTTCTTGCATGTTGGCATGTTATTATCCTCGTCATTTTTTTTAAAATAATTATTGTCGTTGTCAATTTCATATTAATTTCAGGTTATTAATCTATTTCTTTATGATAAACACGTCTGCTTCATAAGGCTATCTTGCCTGCTTTCAAAAATTACGTTTCCTCCACCTGAGATGATGATAACATACATAACTTAATCACAAAGGAACCTCTCTATAGAATATACTTGGAATTCTATAGGATTATGATGTGCACCATAATTAACTAGTATTAATTTTGTTGCTATCAAGTGAAACTGGCGGTTGGCAAAATCAGACAAGAAGATATAACTTGCTATATGGCAGGCAAACATTCCCATGTGTATACATTTGTTTAATTGGCTCTAACGCTGGAGGGTCATTTCCGTTTTATTAATCATTTCTTAATTCTTAACGGATCATTGCATTTTAAATTTTTGTTGTATCAACTTTGTCCATTTATATACCATCTTCTGATTTTAAATATAATATCCTAATTTATTTTTCTTTTATATTGATCTATTTTTTAAAGTAATTATTGTAATAGTTGTATATATTAAATGTTTTGTCATATAATAGTTTTGGCTAATATATATACTCCTCCGGTCCTTAATATAAGACCCAATTCTTGAGTTGGTTTTGGTCCTAAATATAAAACTCATTTCTCATATTTATCAATTTTCTCTAAATTATCCCTATAGATACTCTCTTAACCATAATCAAATAAAAGAAGGAGATGAGGTATTAAGAAAGATGATTGTGGTGTTTTAGGAAAAATGTGTCATATTTCTTATAATTAATAACTTATCTAACTTCCTTAATTTAATAAAATTAGTTAAATGGGTCTTATATTAAGGACCAGAGGAGTAATTAGTAAGAATATTTTATAAAATATAGTACATATTTGTTATAAATAGCTAACTTAATAAAATTTTTTAATCTACTCAAATTAGTTAGTTAATAAAAATTGGAGATAGTATATTTTACTTTAGAATTTCTCTTTATCATGTATCTCCATCCCAAAAAAAAGATGAAGCTACGTGACTCCAATAATGTTTGTAGGAAAAACGTCGTCTTAAAGAATAAAGGGTAATTGATGGACTGAATCAACCGCAATAAAAGTACAGTCATGGGGAGGATGAAGTCAACTGTTAATTATGTATGACCAAAACGAAGAGACGTTTACTTGAGGAAAAGGGTCGTAAAAGAAACGACAATAGAGGGTTTAGAACTTTCGCGGTAAAGCCCCGCGTAGTTACCATGCACGCGCCATAACCACTCGGCCAAAACGGTTCAAGCCGCCCGCCTCCCGGTCTCGATATCTTATTTATAAATAATTTTAGAAAAGATTGACTAATGCCATCGCCCGTCGCTGCCAGTACCAGCACTACCAGACGAACCAAAAAGAGATCGACAAACCATTGAAAGTTGGGTGGTGGGCCCCACTCTCCCCTTCCCCTCTTCGCTCCATTACCATTTACGACAACACCGTCCTTACCGACTCCGACGTCACGTGTTGAGCGAGAGAGAGAGAGAGAGAGAGAGAGAGAGAGAGGAGAGAGCGGGTGGAAGGAAGGAGCAGGGAGGGACGGGGAGAAGAACTGAACAGGGAGAGGGAGAAATGTCCTCCGCCACCGCCACCGCCACCGCTGCCGACACTACCGTCGTGCCACAGACGGTGGAAGCAGAAATGAAGACGTACTGGTGTCACGAATGCGACATGAGTGTTGCTCTGTCTCCCCCTTCTTCGTCGTCGACTCTACTCTGCCCCCATTGTCACACCCACTTTCTCGAACTCATGGACTCCCCTTTCTTCCCTCAATCAGATTCTCATTCATTTCCCGCTTCGCTTTCCCTCTTCGACACCCCCTACCTTCAACACCTAATCCAGAACCACCTCCTTCCCTCGGACGACGACGACGACGACGGTGAACTTGAGTATGACGACGTTTTCGAGGACCCGTTATCTCTTCTCTCCACAATACCAAATACCACCTCCAAATCTTGCTCTGATTCTGTACCCACTATAACAGTTACCTCTTCATTGCTATCGCAGCTTGACCCTGGAGGGGTTCTTTGTGCGGTTTGTAAGGACCCAATTGGGGTTGATGCGCAGGCTAAGCAGCTTCCGTGTAAGCATTTGTACCACTCCGATTGCATTACGCCGTGGCTGGAGCACCACAATTCGTGCCCACTTTGTCGCTTTCAGCTCGTCGGCGAGCAAGAGGAGGAGGGGGCTTCTCAGGCGAGGAGGATCAGAAGGCAGTTGAGAACAGCCATGACGAGGCTGTCTGAATTGATGGAAGAGGAGGATGATTTCTACGGGTTGAGGACCACTCTGAGTCACATTGCTAGTAGACACCGTGTTCTTTCTTCTGCTATTTCGGGTCATAGGAATGATGAGAACCCTTCTGATTCCCTGTCTTCCCCTCGGATGACGGAAGCAGATTCTGTGTCTGCCGGCGGAAATGGTAATTCGGAGTCTGTTTCGAGCTGATTGGTCATTTATGCAAATTCAACGTGATATTAGGTATGTTTACATTACTTTCAACAAGCTATCAATTTTTGCCCTCTCTGTTCTTCGTATGTTGATGTTGATTCATTTGTTTAGAGATTTTGAATATGTCTTGGCTCAAATTCTTGGGCATTTCCATGCTGCTTGGTATCCTTGCATCATTTTTTGTTGCTTCTGTTTATTTATTTTCCCCTCTCTATATGATTCTCGTCCTAATACGCCTTTTTAGATTTATTTGCTTAGAGATTTTGATTGCTTTTGGTCAACTCTTGGAAATTCCCTGCCATTCGTGATAAATTAGATTGCTTTTTCAATGAAATCGTTCTTGTGACTTCCATCCATACCCGAGGGTAACTATTTGTCTAAAGAGTAAGATCTAACTTGTAAAACCGTTATGTAGGCGTGGAAGGGTCTTGAACATCAGTTTTGATCAGTAACTCCTTCAGAACTTTGATTTGTATGGGCTGGTTTAGAGTTCTATACTGACTCTTTGCAAGGAGTTTGGCATTATAGAGCTCCTAAATTTTCGTTATTTCCAATGAACTCAAAACTCAGTGGCATCTCATTTCCGTAAACAATAGCAATCTGGGTTGAACAAAGGCTTCAAGTTCGTTGGTGCTTGTTGGCTTTACACCAAATTTTAGAAGAAATTGCCATCTTTATTTGTCATAATGGCAAGTCTGTGCTTTTTTTTTTTTTTTTGGGGCCTCTTCAAAGAACTTGAAGAGATCTGGAGCTTCTCTTTGAAGCCAAATGATGGTAATATGAAACCTAACTAAGGATGTCTTCCTGATCATTCTTGATTAAATTAGTCTATAAGAGATTATCATTTTATACTCTAGTTCTTGGATTTATTTGGCTACGTGTTTGTCTCTACTTCTTCTTTGGACTAAACTGCATGTTTACTTGATACTAAAGGATTAACTCTGTGCATGTGTAGAAATTGTAACCAGTTTCAAACCTTTGGAAGAGGGGGGGAAAAAAAGGATTTGAAATATAGGAATGCATACAAGGCTAAAGTTTGAGGGTGTAACTTTTAGGGGCCAGATTGTATATTTAGTTTGACCGAACCATAATTTGCGCTGGTTTATGGGTCATGCAGAACAACAACTTCTGCCCTCACTCTTACGAATCATTAGAGTTAGCATTAATGCATTTGTTTAAGTTAGGTTACAATTTGCTCTTAGTGTGGGAAGGGCAATCAGTCAAATGGATTTGCTTATTTTGCTATCTGCAGTAGTCCTGTTGCATGTTCTGCGACTGCCATAACTTGATTCTGTCAGTGTTGAATTGTAATCATTCGCTGAAAATGAATTGGCATAAGTTGTTTATTGAAATGATTGAAGCTGGCGATGGAAACCATAATTAATTCAGCATTAGTCAAGTGCATATGCATTAACCTTGGTTGATTCCCCCAAGTATGGGAGACCATTTGGTTTGTTGATTTTCAATGCAAAAGCTTATTTTATTAGCAACATATATCTGCCATACTTGCTATTATTGTGAGAATGGGAAGCAAACAAGATCAAATTCTGGACCATTCAGTTATGAAGGCTTTAATTTGATGCCAAATATCATTTAAACTCTCAAGCCCTTGCTGTTACAATGAATATCCATGAATAATTTAATTGTACTCACTAATTTGACTATCCCTTTAGTTGCTGCATGATAATTAGTGCTGGTGCTTTGTGGGATCATAAAACCTGCTGCCATTTTATCTACTTTTTGTTTCTTTTAATCAAAAGACCTACTGTAGTTCATAAATTAATATTGGGTAATCTGATTTTTTTTTTTTTGGGCTCTTGCAGGCATAGGGTTTTTATCTGTCATGGAAGTCTTGAAGTTGTGTCACCATAGATTGGCTAATCAAGTGTAAATCTGCAGCGGTGGCTGTGCTAATCTTTTACTTTTTCCTTTTTGGGGGATAATGTAGAAAAATTTTAGGTAGACTCAGTTTACAAAGGAGAAGTAGATCAAATCTATCATAAATATACACAAACATCTCATGATGAAGTGTATCTTCATGATCATTTGGTCTGCATTCTATATTTGCAAACAGGGTCTATCTCGAAGCTTAATAAATTTTGCTAGGTAGTTACGGTACAAAGGTAAAAATTACAAATAAACTGGTAGAGTGCATATGTGCTTTGCATTTCTCTTCCTAGCCTGCCCAGCCCCTTCATCCCCTTCCCTAATCATGTCCATAGAAAGCAGTTTCTCCAAACTAGTTTCTCTCCACCTTGTCTGCAATAAAATGTTTCTGAGGTTCATCTTTCATCTGTGATGTGTCTGAACTGACGTTGTTCACTGAATCATTTGGAACGGATCAGGCTTTGATTTCTCATTTGATGTGTATGTTGACTACCATAATTAGTAATGGGATACAATTGGTCGGGTTGGGAACTGATTGTACCAGCTGTTAGACTCTATGTAGAGATTCTTTTTACAATACTCATGTAGTCTTGTTTGTACAAGTCTCGGACTCAAGAAAAATTTTACTCTTCGTTAACTGTCTTATTTATAAATTTTTTAATGATTTGGCTTATAAATATGATGGGGGGAGAAAAAACTTCTCTTGAGTTCGGTTGATGGACTGAGTATAAGGCGGGGAGAATCATGTTCTGGAGACACTGAATTTAATGAGGTTGATATTTAATATACTGAAATATTAATAAAATAAGCACTGGGTCAACAGAAATGAGGGGATCGAATTTGTTGTCAAAGGACAAGTCGTATGGATATTCACGACTTATCTGCTCCATTAATTAATAATTAATCATTCATAGTAATGTGATCGGAATCGTAATTCATTTTATTAAGGAAGATGCGTACATTATGTAATTGTTGCTTAGAAGGAATATCTTTAACCAGAAAAGCAAGCAATGAATGGACCATGACCACCCCTTGAATTCGTTCTCGTTCTGTACCTCCCGAGGGCCCCTTCGATATTTGGATGCTTAACCTTTTTCTGTTTTAGGTACATAAAATAAATTAATTTCATATATCCCATATTTTAATAAAAGAATGTAAAGGTATTCTCTTCTTTTACATAAAGAGCATACCCCATTGATAACAGAAATTATGAACTCAGATCGCCTCAATTGAGCTCCAACCGAATAATCCTGGCTTAATAGGGTTGCGGGTTATAAATTTATTTTATGAAAAAAAAAAAGATTTTATTTTAGCACCATTAGGTATTTTCAAACTACATTGTACTTAAGACTAATTCTTTTGGTGGCAAGAATAGTTAAAAAAATAAATACGTCTCTTAGAATTCAAACTTGCATTCTCTTAAGAAGATAATACTGCTATCACTTTAACTAACAACCTGTTGATCGATCTTGATATAATATTAATATTCTTCCAGTTCTAAATATAAGACTTTTGTGTATAAGAGTCTTATATTTAGGACCGGAGGAGTACTATCTTAAAGAGGTCTTGTAATTATGATCAGAGATAGTAATACTATTTGGCCAACAAAAAAAAGTACAATATGTGAAATCGCTTTATAGCTCCAATGATAGTTGTAATTTGTTGAAGGCATCAATTTGTGAAGAAGAATGGGGAACAAGTCATGGCGGCACCGTGGCATGGAACGGAACACGTTTTTCTTTTGGTTCTGCGACCTTCCTACGCTCATAATATCCAACGAATTGTCAATTGGGGCGCTGCTGTTGCGCCACGTAATACCTGCACGTGATTAGTCTCCCGTCATCTTCGTCGGGCGTCGGCGCCGCAAAACGACACAGTCTCACTCATCTTGCTTTTTTTTTTTTTGGTAAGAACTCACTCATCTTGCTTTGTTAAACCCCCATTCATATCCTAATAAACACATAAACCAATTTTACTACCGCTAGCTTAGGCTAACAGGATCACGTTTCATATAATGATATACTCCAAATTTGAGACGAATTAAGAAATGATAATTAATTACGCAAGGGATTAGGCAAATTTTGTGATGTGACGCTGACGTGGAATCAACCCAAATTCACCATCGGTGTCCCCCCAGAAACTTCCAACTAACTTTCCCGACAGGTCAAGCAATCCTGGTCGTCCATTCCCCCTGATTCGTCCCTGCAATAAATAATTCCAAGGGAACCCCTATCCGCTCATCGCCACGTGCACCCCAACTCCAATAATAGTACTTTATGGATAACAACGAACTTTCCCCCTTGGTTTCCCACTGATGAAAGATTCTGAATCTAGCCCAAATCGAAAGGGTCCATCCAAAGTTCATACATCTCATTTATGACTTTTCAAACTTCTGGTCGAAATTACATAACATTCCACACGCTATCGAGCTCTATATATATATTATATGTATGTGTACAGGTATCTGCATCTTATCTCTTCAATCCATTCTTGAGAATCATAATATTCGTACTTTGCGATCTGTGTTGTGTTGTGTTGGGTTCAGATTGGGATCAGAGTTAGGTTTTGATCAAAGATAATGGAGTTGGCGATGAGCTTAGGTGACGTGTTGCTGAAGGTCGGCTTGTTCTTCCTGGTTCAAGCTCTGGTTTATCTTATTCTCACTAGTTCTTCCAACATCTTCTCCAAGTCCGGTGGTAGATCACAGAGCTTCAGGACCGCCCGCTCCCTGAGTATTCGCCGGATTCTCGCCGTCCTCTCCGATCAGCCCGCCGAGCCCTCTCCTTCTGCTAAGGGCCCTCCCTCCCCGGCTGCTCAGAACTACAAGTCTGAATAATATAATCTCTCCTCAGGCCCCGCAGCTTCTTTGCTGTAGTCTAATTAGGCCGTGGATTTGCAAAATCAATGGAGATAGCTAACTGGGGGATTCTTATGCTGCCTTAGGGGTTGTTATTCTTTTGTTCTTTTTCTGGTGTGTATATATATCATATGAATTTGGAATATTGAGCATCAAGTTTCTGCTTTTGTGTATTTCTCTGCTAGCAGCTGTTATTATATACTGGGGATGCATGAGAAAGAGTATCTTCTTGTATCCAAATCGATTCATGATATGGAACTTGGGGGGGGGGGGGTGTGTGTAGCCTAGAAAAGATTGCTAAAATGGTTCCTGGATGTTAAATTTTAATCATCAAGTGATTATTCCCTAAATTGATATGTAATGTTTCTGATTAATATGTATTATTGACGATGAAAAATATAGGAAATAAGTAAAGTTAATTAAGTGATTGAAGAAATTATGGAAAACCCAAAGGGAAGCAACGAAGATATGAATGAAGACTGTAAAATTAAGGGAAGCAGCTGTAGAGGCTCCTCAAGTGGAAATAATCATGGGAAGGCGCTTTTTTGGTAAATAAAAGTGAAAACTGAATCAAAGAAATAACACACACGGGGTCCAAATTTCATACTGGGCTTATTTCTTGGGCCGAGATGTTAAGTTTTGCGGAAAAATATAAAGATCGGCCCAAATGAAGCCTGAAGAGCCACCCAGAAGCCGCATCATGAGAAAAACGGTTCCTAAAAATCAAAAGCCCAAATTCTCACAAAAAGCCAAAAATCCAACGGTTAGAAGATCTTAATCGAAGCAACCCACGAGTTAGGATACTCAATGCCTATGAAAAAATTAGTTGAAATGCAAAGCAACTTTTTAATCCTTTTTTTTTTTTTTCAATGTATGAAAATACGATACTGAATGAATTTTAATGGCGAAAGTCAATCCATTGCATGAAGCCTAAAGATTTGTTTAAAGGTTGTAAACATCACGCTCTCACAAGTCAATGAAGATTACACAAGGGAATATTAATGTAAGATAATTAAGCTTGCCATTTCGTTGCTGCAGGGCTCATATCCTAAGCCTTTAAAAGGCTAATTATCAAATCATAACCCTCATCCATCCTTGAAAAATATTTACTAAATAAATAATAACTCTTTATGTGTTTGTCTGGCATCCCGGTTATTGAATACTAAATGTGGATATTTTTTTTAAAGATTTGAATGTCGTTTTATTATAGATATCTGATTTTCCATTGTGTAGAAATGCTTTAATATTAAAGAAAGAATATGTTAATTGATAGTAGTCATGGTAAAAAAAAATATGATAATTGATAGAATAAGTATTACATTTAATTGATGAACAACATATGATATTATTTATACAAAGAATTATTTTGCGTGTGTATATATATTTTGATCTGTCAGTACCTCAACTCATGTTAACAGAATAAAACTATATGATTTAATTAAAAAAGAACTTGCGGGTTGCAAATTAAAAATAGGAAGAAAGTTGGGGGTATCTATAAAACGATTTTCCTTTTTTTTTTTAAAACTGCATATAAATATCATAGTTTCCGTACGTAATAACCGTGACTGATGAAGAGGTCAGAATCCACGTGCACGGTATGTGGGGACCACGTGGGGGTGTTCCCACACGATTCTCTTCCTGCCACAAATATTTTATCCCCAGAGTACGCCCTCCCCGACAACTCTTGTGAATTCTTCTGATCCACTTCACCATTTTTTTTAAAAATGGTCATAAAAATATATAATTTAAATAATATAAAATGAATGTATTCTGTTCAATTTTTCAAAATATAAAAAAAAAATCATGTTATCCAAACAATATAATATGTTTTTACATCTAAGAAAATACCAAAATAAACTTAGTATTTCATTCTTATTGTTTTTTTAAAGCGTGACAAAAAAATATCTTTAAATTTTAAAATTTTAAATCAGTCTTATTTGTTATATTTTAATAATAATTGGTAACATTTAAAAAGCAGATGATAACATTTTTTATAATCATTTCTGATTTGAAATTTTAAAATTTTAAGAATTTTTTTTACTTTTCTTTTTATTTTTCTGATAATATTCCGGAATTCGGATCACGTAACAGTGGATTTCAACCCTCTTGGCTGTCACTTTCTCTAACAAAATCAAGTCATCTTATTCACTTTGTATGATTCGGATCATGCTCACGCTCAGAGTAAATCTTTTTTTTTTTTCCCTTTTCAATTGAAATTATAACTTTATATAATATTTAAATTTCAATCATAAAATATATTACCAAAATGGAGTAAAATCACGCTTTAATGGAAATAACATTAGCTCGGCTATAGTGCTATGTTCTTTTATGAATGTAATTGGTTTGCGTTAGTGCTATTTTCTAAATCCCATTTCTTTGGTTGGCTAATATAAAAATTTTGTCTATACAAAATTAATTAAATTGATTCGGTGTTATTTATTTATTTTTAAATACACTTATCCAATATATAATATAGTTTAGCACATTTAATTTTTCAACTAAATTCTTTTTTTTTTTTTTGGACTGAGATTTCCACTAAATGCAACCACATTTAATTTAGCACTTATTCGTATAGTCTGACTTAATTCCAATAAGTCAATGCACGATGTAGATTTAAAAACAAGTTGATGTATAAAGTAATGTCATGATGATATTCTCAAGATAATTGCATATAACAATAATTTTGATGAGTTTTTTTTTAAAAAAAATATAAGACTGAATATATTAAAATTTGAATCTATGACAATACAATGAATGTATCCAGCACCATCATATGTGAAAAAATATTTAATGATTTTTTAAAAAAATAGTTTTTTTTTGTACATAAAAAATAGCTAACAAGTGAGAATGTTTCAAGTTAATGTTTGCCAAAAGGAAAGGCCATTAACTTCTAGCCTCATCTGTTGTGCCTCTTGTATAAGTCAAAGAACACCAAACCTAAACTAATTAATTTAATTAATTAATCATTAATAAGAACATATTATTTCGAGACACTAAGTATCAACGGTGAGCCCTTCTTGTACATACATAATTCCATCACATATGGCCACCAAAGACACCAAATATATAAAAAAAGATTGCATTATAATAATAAGGGGAAGCCACCTCTAAATTTTTGTTTTCTTTATGATATGTTAGTATTATTTTCTTAAAAAATTCTAATTTTTCCACCTAAAAAAATTTTAGTTTCAATTTTCCCCTTTAAATCCTCCCTATTAGTATTTTTTGGTTCTTTCCTGCACATAAAGCATATTCAATAATCCTATACATTATTGTATTATATGCTGCAAAATAAGTTATGATTCAAATTAGCTTCACCCCAATGTCTAGTTAGGCATATTTACTGATTATACCATGAGTTAATAAAAATTTACCCAAAGAACCAGTGTTTCATAAACCATAGTTCACTGGCACGTCAAATTTTTTAGGTTTTGCTTCATTATTCGTACTAACTAATTATATATTATGTGACTCTCCGTTTTTTTTTAACAACAGCTTTTTTTCCTTGAGTAAGTATTGGAATCCATTAATTCACAGAGAAGCAAATACAAAAATAATTAACTTCGCTTATCAACCTCCACCTCTCTAACATGAGAGATTGAGGGTGATCAAGAGCACAAAACTTATCTTCTATACTATGTGAATACCAATTACTTTTTAAAAATCAATATTAGATCTAATTAATTTAGAAGTTAGATTAGATCATATAAATATAATTTTTTCACGTACGAAGCTTGAATTTAAAACTTAATACCATCCTACAGTTTCCAAAAGCCAGGTTCATGAGAGCTTGAAAGTCTGCAACTTTTTTTTCTTTGAAATAATTACTCTTCTTTCAGCATATAAAATCAATCAACCACGTACCAGCCTGCACATTTTTTTTCTTTCTTGAGCTGCAAAGATCAGAAAAGATGACTAAGTCACGCACAAGTTATCCAGGTTCGGCATCATCATCTAAGCTAGGAATTGGAACAAGTTCAAACTTGATCGCTAAGTTGAAGCCAAAGATCAGGATAATCCATGTGTATGCTCCAGAGATCATCAAAACCGATGCTGCAAATTTCAGAGAGCTTGTTCAGAGGCTCACTGGTAAACCAGAAGATGATGAAGAAGAGAAAGGCAGGAAAAGAAAAACAACAAAGACCCCACCAAAGAGATCATTAGATCCAGTAATAGGTTTTCAAACCAAGCAGGGGATGATGGTTGTGGAAGATCAACAAGAGCAAGATTTTACGGCTCTGCAAAATGGGTTAAGGATCAAGAAAGAAGGAGAGAATGATAATGATAATGGTGGTGGTGATCAGATGTTGTGGGGAAAGTCATCAAGGTCAAATGGAAAATTCAGTGGTGGTTTCCTTGAAGGTTTCTCAGAATTCGACTGTTTCATGGAAGAGTTTGGCGCCATGCCTGTAGTGTAATCTAATCTAGCTAATTCCTTAGTTTCTACTTCTGTCTTGTTCTTCTTGTCTGTCTTTTTGGTTGTATCTGAGTATATATGGTCTCATATATAAATATATATATATATATATATATATATTACCTTATTTCTGATGTAGTTCATCCGTATTAACTTCCACTGGTTCCATTTTGATGCACAAATATAACAGCGCGCACACACAGAAGCACAGACACAAGCAATTGCTTTGCTGAATATAGTTGACTTCATCTTTTGCCTTTGAAGGCTTGACCTTCCCAGAAACCAAAATCAGACCTTTACAACATTTGAGCCATTACCTGTCATAGCTTAATTATCAGAACTGACCTCATACGGTTGTTTGTGGCTGCATACGAAAACTTTCCAAATTTTAATGTGAAGATGAAAATGGGAGAACTTGTGAGAATTAAGATAGATAAATAGCACTCCCTAAGGATTTTCTATGTCTCACAGGTTAGTCTTTTGAAATGTATATTCTGGGAAAGAGTTATTAGGACCAAAATAATACCTTAAGCCTTGAAAATTTTGTTTTAATCTGAAACCATGGAATTAAGAAGGGAAGATAGAGTGCAAATTTATCAGCACAATTAGCCAATAGCAAGAAAGAACATTTAGAGTCATTTTGCAGTCTCCTGTTCCCATATAAAGTACCCAAGGGAGAGAGAAGGAAATGAAACAAAATTGTAATGCAAGTTTGAAGCTTCGTATCAGGGATCTCTTTGGTACGCGTACTCTGCGTTTTAGAAAGTAAACTTCAACGTGGGTATAATCATTATAGACAAAAACTATGCAACATTTTATCATTGACAATAATTTTCTCGGTAAATTTAAGTATTGCGACTTGCCAGCTTACAGGTTTCAAGTGAATCGGGTGCTTTAAGGATTGGATCTGTCATGAAGTTCAATGGAAAGTACTCCTCCGGTCCTAATTATAAGACCCAATTGACTTATTTGAGGAGATTAAGGAAGTAAGTTAAGTTGGTTATTTATAATAAATAAGTGTTGTCATTCCTAAAATATCCTTGCTAATTAAGTATATTGGCTAAAACTATCATTATTAGAAGGATTATGTTGGAAAAAAATGTATAAATATAAGAGACAAAATGGATTGGGTCTTTTAATTAGGACCAAATAAAAAGTCAAATTGGGTCTTATAATAAGGACCGGAGGAGTATAAACTATCAGTACTATGAGTTAGTTGATTAATTTGAGTAAATTAAAAAAGTTTGTTAAGTTAGTTATTTATAATTAATAGATGTTATCTTCCCTAAAATACCCTTGATAATCATGTGTATTAGCTAAGACTATGATTTGATGGAATCTTTTTAATATGTGCAACTATTACAATGACTACTTTGGAAAATAGATAAATATGAGAGACAAAATAGATTGAGGTCTTATATTTAGAATCAAATTGAATGTCAAACTAACTTTTGTACGAAGGATTGAAAGTAGTATTATATATTGCACACATAGAAGGCAAGGTTTAAGGTATTAGGATTCTACTACTAAATGGAACAAAGCAGCAAGCACCGACTTCAGCCAATAACATATGATGTATCACCTAGTGATCAAAATAAAATGTAATAATTCCAAGTCATGTGACTAGTCGTTTTGCAAATCCTTCACCCATTTAGCGAAAAAGTGTGCCTTTTGTTTGATCTGGTAATTTGCATTCTTTGCATTCGCAAAAGTAAATATCTATAATCTACATAATGCATTAAAACATAGAAAAATAACAATAAACATGAAAGTACGATGTGAATTCCCCACATAGTTGACCGTACTATACGGATTCAATGAAGAGACTTCATGTCCTCTTGTAAATGGAAATTGTCATTGTAAGATACTTTAATATTTGGAGAAATCCTTAGAATCCAGTCGCATATTTCTTTCTTATATTACTCTTTTCCTCAATGTATAAATATATAAATTATTATTTGATATTTTCTAACTCCTGTAGATCTAAAGCATTGCATAAAATTTAAGAAATGATTTATACTATTTATACTTTATGAATAATATGACTTGTTGAATTTTCTGTTTCTCTATATATAACTAAACTAGGAATAGGTATAAGATGGTCCATCACTTATTAAAGTACTCATCTCATCTTTAAAATAAGACCTAATTAACTAATTTGAGTAGATTAAGGATGATAGTTAAATTAATTAATATGACCCCATAATCTTTATTGACTCCCTCCTTCTCTTTTCTATTTGATTATTGTTGAGTAAATATCAATAGGGTTAATTTAAAAAAAAATTAATAAACATGTAAAATACATCTTACAAATTATGTTTTACACTAAGGACGGGAAAGAGTATTATACAACCAAAATGCATGATCATTTGAATCATTTAGTATTTCCTCCACACAAAAAGTAATAAAAATTTAACAGGATAGGTATCCAATATATGAATGCGGATTCAAAGACAAGAAGTTTGGTCGATCGCTCAGTAGAAAACATTCTTGATATCCCATGTAGCTTCATTTTTTTTTTTTTGGGTGACTGCATGTAGCTTCATCTTGATGCAAATCATCTTATTCATTGATAAGACTCAGATACATTACAGAGGAAGGAACCTTGGTACAAATGTCAACGATGAGGATCAGAATCAAGTGCATTTTACAAGACCGAAGCTCTTTATAACATTTTAGTGCGAGATCAACCAGCTTCTTAACCAAACCCCTATGTCTATAGTACTGCCCATATAATCTCATGGGGGTAGCCATTAAGTTAGATCAAGGGATCTCTTATCAAATTCAAGACCAATATTTCTACATACAGTGAAAAAGAACCACAAATGAGAAGCTTAGTCATTCGCCAATACTCCAACTGAGGCTGTTTCTTCCCAGGGATGCTCTGCCCCCGTTCATCTCAACGCTTCAAATATAACAATCTTTTGTTATAATACCTAAAACCAGAAGCAAATAAACTATATCTCAGAAATTCAAAGCACAAATCTTCAAAGAGATTGAATGCATGCCATTGATTTAAAAAAAAAAAAAAAAAAGGAAGTATACAGTAGATATAACCAGACCTTATCCCCCGATATGTATCATGGGCCTATTTGCTGTCTTTGCAATGTCAAACATGCCAGCGTGTGAAGCTTTCTTCCTTTTCACCTACATATGCCAGAACACATTACTCAGAAACATAATAGTACAGGATGCCTCTGATAGCTCAATATGCTTAGTTCGCTCTAATAACTGGAGAAATTTAGCAAGAGTTTCTTGGGTTCTTGTTTTCAGGTTCTACATTACAAACACAACAAAGTGGAGAAGACCTTAATATGTGATGTGGAACTGTAAAATATATCTAATTAACAAGTTTTTATCAGCTGATTTAATATGCATAACAAACACTTGAAAACCATGCCTTACTTTTGTCATTTATGCTTTTAAGTAGTACGTGGCCGGCAAATTTTTTTTCTTCCTTTTTTGTATGTACCAAGGTATCCACTACTAGTGGCAGTGACTAATCCCCTTGTCTTAAATGGCTGGCCACGGGATGCTTTTCATCCACCACTTGGTATAACCACTAGGTTACACCCACGTGGTTCCATGACGGACAATCTTTTTTTTCAGGTGATACACCACCGGTATCCAGTGCCTTTGGCAACTGACTAATCCGGTTCGGCCTCAAGGAGATCCCAATAAGGGGGCAAAAGTCTCCCAGCAGGGGTTGCTCCATTCCCAAGGATCGAAACTGAGACCTCTGGTTAAGGGGCCAGGAGTATCTGCCACTCCGACCAAAGCAAATATGAAATGTGACATCTGACATGAAGACTGTATGCATGATGACAGTATGAAGCCATCTTTGCATGAGCGTCATGCTAACAAAGTATGCTAGACCTGATACGGATACAAGCGGCAACATGAAGTTTTAATAAGGCTAATTGAATGCTTCAATAATAATTAAGCAACCATACCGCAGCCCCAATTATCTCTCTAAGCTCATGATCCTCTGCGCCATGTCGAAGAGGATCTCTTAAGCTAACCTGCAAGAGAATCAGAGCATGTAAGGACATCTAGTATATGTGCCAAAAGAGAATTTTTTGGCTGACACCATAAATGAAAGACAAATAGCTTTTAAAATCATTTTGTCGTGTGAAAAAGTAAATGCTTATCAACCTTGAAGAAAGAAATATCTGTATGAGAAAAATTAGAAGATGCCAGGGAATTATAGTCAGGAAAACAAAGAAGCATTGACTGCAGTCAACAGGACATGAACAAACTGATCAAGTGGGCTGTGCAAAACCACTTGTTGAATGGATTGAGCATGACACCAGCACATCAATAAAGAAGATCCCGTCATTTAAACTACAATGAACCAGAGAAGGAAAACGAGAACAAAATTGATAGGTTGGTCCTAAAAGCACCAGCGGAATGAATTGTCCAATTCTTACAAACCAGCTCCAGCTTTAGCAGGGTATAATCAAGACTAAAGAATTTGTAAACAACAATTCAATACTTGCGCCAATCAATTTGAATTTCTTTGATATTTTTCTTTGATTCCAAAACAGGGAATCCATCATATGTAAGAATTCACAATAGAATCGGTAGTTCAAAGTTCCGACTTAAAATTGTAATTTCTCTGTTTGATACTGAGACAAACTGCTAGAAATCTGCTTCACTAGCAGCAGTTGACTGTATCGAATCTGATATGCACCTCAATAAAGAATGTAATGTTCAAAACCCAGTTGGACATAGAAAGCCTATAAGTTTTTTCCACAACCAACAACTATGCATTCCTTGATTTGCTAATCACATTAATAATTCCAAAACCATCCAAGATCACAAATCATACTCAAGTTACCACCATCACGTGGCATAAATCGCAGACACATAATCTTAACAGATAGAATTGGGCTTACCTCTGAAGGACCAAATAAACAAACTTTGAAGTTTCCATCAGCTAATAATCGCAATCTGTTGCAACCAGCACAAAAATGCTCCGTCATTGATGTGATGAATGAAACTGTACCCTGATGCCCGTCTATTGTAAAATTCTTCGCTGTTTCTGTTGGGTGATCCTGAAGTCTCTTTAAGCCTGTAAATCGTTTCCCCTGTTTGATGATGATGGTAAAAACTATGGGATCTCTGTAAGAAAAACTTCAAAACTCTATTCAATCAGCAGTCAGAATTCTACCTTACCACTATATCCAACATCTCTGAGTAGGGCACAAGTTTCTTAACATTCCACACATTTCCATCGAAAGGCATAAACTCAATAAATCTGACATTAATCGGCTTTCCACGTGTCAACTCAACAAAATCACAAATTTCATCATCATTGAATCCGCGCATTACAACACAGTTGACCTGAAACATTAGGAAGCATGCTAAACAGCTTATAAATGCATCCCGAGTGACATTAAACTTTTAGAAGTTATGCAAGGCTATAAAACTTATTTGAATGATTCAATAATTAGGCAAAACGATAACTACTTGAGGGGAGGTGATAAATTGAATGCGTCAAGATACATAAATAAATAAGACTAAAAGTTACCTTAACTGGATTATATCCAAGGTCTATGGCAGTATTGATTGAACCCATTACTTTTTCATGTCCTTTGCGTCTTGTCATGAACTCAAATTTTGCTGGCACCAAAGTGTCTAAACTGATGTTCACAGAAGTAAGCCCACATTCTTTCAGCTTAGGAAGTTTCCTTGCAAGGGCTATGCCATTAGTAGTCATGGCTAATGTCTTCAGCCCCTTCAAGTTTGACAACTCCCAACATATGTCTTCAATATCCTTTCTGACGGTTGGCTCCCCACCAGTCAAGCGAATTTTGTTCACTCCAGAGCTAACAAAAAGATTTGCTAACCGCATTATCTCAGTCCTTGTTAGAAGCTTAGGGCTAGGAGTGAGCTCCGCACCCTCTTCTGGCATACAGTAATGACACCGTAAATTGCAACGCTCTGTTAAGGATATCCTCAAATAAGTGTGCAACCTTCCAAAGGAATCTACTAACATGTCAGAGTCAGAATTATCTTTTGGCTGATCTTCGAAACATGTCGCAGAAGATGTGGCATACATTCTTGCTGCATGTTGCTTCAAAATTCCACTGAACAAAGCTTGATCTTTACTATTTCTGGAGGCAAATAATGATCCAATTTCACAATTTACCTGTTGCAATTATATTAGCAGTGTTAGCTAGACTTCTTTTATTCCAAAATCTAGCTTCAACCACACTTAAGATTAACAAGAAAGAAGACAATCTTGGATGCTAAATCAATTCTCAAAAGGCAAATCTGAATCATCAATCATTCAAGTGGGGGCACTAAAAATACTCAATTCATGCATTCATTAAAACAAGTAATTAATATATATCAAGTAATTAATGGAGAAAGAACTGGCGACTCTGTAATTTTATCTCCACAATTTCCTCCACCTGGAAATGATCCAAAACACACAAACACAAGAGATGCTCTTCTGTCAACGTGAAATTGGATAAAAAATATGAGAATAGTAATGTCTTGAGGGGAATGCTATAGAAATACATCACCCAAGGGACACATACAAAATAATTCAATTCAATCCTATGGCCTAAACAGCCCCCACCAAATGACACAGACTAAACCAGCTGGAGCCCACCGCCCCCGGGGGGTGGGAAGGGGGTATTCTGTGTATTTCAAGTTTGACAAAAGACATTAATATTAATGATTTATTTAAGGAGTCAATCATGCTTGATGAGGAATCTGTCAGATATTCATATATTCTTAAAAGCATTAGTGTGCTAGATATAGGCAATATACGAGTAATACAAAACATAGAAACTGGAAGGGTGTAAGGAGTGAAAATAATTAGAAGCAACCAAAAACGTTAAAAAAAATTGCAACGGATAAGTAGATGTCCTGTTCTTGTTAAGCTTAAAAAAACGTATTCTGACTGTAATCTACCAGAGTTTGACATGGACACTTCGTACAGCTTTGTTGATAATGTGATCCGAGAGTTTCCATCCATTAAATTTTAATACAAAATATAGCATGACCATTCAGATAACAAAATAAGTGTGACCAAAAACAAAAATAAAGACAATGATAAACCCAATGCAAAAAGCAAAAGAAAAGGCCACCACCTGGAAGAAATTTGATTGTTTGAGCCCAATACGCCAGTCATTCAATTTAGATAAGTAGCGCCTCATCCTGGTTTCAGAGATGATAGAGACCACAGATACAAAAATATGAGGAAAACGAAAAGATAAAAAAGAAAGACAGAGTTTTTTTAATATAAGAAAGAAGCATCACCTGAAGATATGATAAAGACTCAAAATTCCTTATCTGGAACCGATAGAACGGCGAAAGGGGAGATGGGGAAGTGAGAATCGCAAGGACCTGAGAGTTTTGGGGACCCTTGACCATGTCGGAGAGCCAAAGTCCAAAGCATATTACATATATATAGATGGAGAGAGAGGGTTGGATTCCCTGGATATAGACTCTTGGAAGACCAAAGAAGCAATTAGCTAGTTGGTCAGTGAAACTTGGAGCCATAAGGTGAGATTGCCGGCGACGTGTAATTTTAAACCTGTAATTTTAAACAAATTAATTCCCCTTCCACCTCCGAAAGCATATCCGTTAGCCCCTTAATCACGTTTTTTTTTTTTTATGGCAAAAAAAAAATCACGTTTTCATTTTTCCCTGCACGTAACGCAAATGACGCATCATAAGTCATAGCATTAGAACACTAACGAAATGATCAAAATCAATTTCATAATTTTTTGGAAGTATCGTTTGTCAGCGGATAATTAAAAAAATGGTCGGATCAAAATTCTTTTATAAAGGCATAATTTTTCAAAAATAGAAGGTTCAGTTTAGTTCAATTAGGATTTTTTCCCAGCCTTTGATCGACCACATCGTACTTAAGCGAGGTGACGTGATGAGAAATTAGCAGCTTATCCTTGATTTTCCGTTTCATCTCTTTTTGAATAAAAGTTGCAGATATATTAAAAGAAATTGAAACTTCAGTTAATAAATTAGAAGGCTCAGTTCTAGACCATCCAAAACATCATTTTATGGTCTCTCTCTGTTCTCTCCCCCCCGGGGGGTCAAGTGCACCTATGCCGAATTCAATCATAATTCACAAAGGCTTCCTTCCATGCATGTAGTTCAGGGGAAGATGCAGAAGAGTTGACTTTTATTTAAGGTTAGATTAGATAGAGATTAATTGGAGTTTACTTTATTTAAGCTAGGATTAGATCTTCAAAGGAAGCTTCTTGCTGGTGTTTGACTCTCCATCTGCTAGTTTCTAACATTTAGATGAACTTGTTGACCCATATTCTTCAAGTTTAATTTATGCAGTGAAAGAAAAATCCATGGGGGATTCTTTAGATTATACTGCAAACTATGCTCACATGTTAGGATTTGATGATCCAAGCATTTTTCCATTATTCCATATGCCTCTGATATAATCCTTACATTTTAATCCTGTCATCATAAGTATGTGAGATAGTATTGAAATTTTTTTATTATTGAAATATACTTGCTTTTCCATATGCCTCTGATATTCTTCATTATGATTTACCTTAATGTTCAATTCAGGTTGCTAGTCATTTTGCAGATCCTTACCAACCATATCAGGTTTGTGCATGCTTTTTCTTTTGACTTTTTCTTGTTCAGAAGGGTGTGAGTTGGATGAGATCTATGGTTTTAGAGTTTGGGGCACCATATATCAGTACAGACAAATTGAAAGACCACTTTCATAAGACGCTGAATAGTGGCCGGGCAAAAAGTGCAGTGACTCAAAATGGCGCTTGTTCTCTCCGAGAAGCCTTCATCCCAGATTCCTTCCTCTCAAGAGGAAGATGATTTACTAGTGAGAAGTTCGAAGAAAATCAAGAATGCTACTATGGAAGAGGGGGGAAGCATCCTAAAGGGTCATTGGCCAAAACTTGGTGAGAAGGGAAATATTTTCTATGCTGGTGGACCTTCCTTTGTTGATAAACTAAAGGGTACAGACCCAAATGACTGCTTGACGGAGGGGGAGGAGGATAACAATGATGCCTTGGGAAACATCTCTGACGATACTATGTCTGAGAAGTCTTCAAAAGAGACTAATCAGGATATGGACGAGCCTATATACAGAACTATTGAAGACCCCAACCGAAACTTTCCCACCTTTGAATTCTCTAGTAGAATGAAGAAGAGACTTTATAGGTCTTGGAACAAAGCTGTAATAGTGAAACTGTTGGATAGGCACATTGGCTATAAAGCCCTGTACTCTCGACTACAATCAATGTGGGCAAGGAGGGGAGTGATTAACCTTATCAATATAGGTTATGGTTTTTTCATAGTCAAGCTATCAAATAGGGAGGACTATTTCAATGCTTTGACTGGAGGACCGTGGATGATATATGATCACTATCTTACTGTGAGGCCTTGGGAACCTAGATTCAGACCAGAACGTGCTTCCATCAACAAGGTTGCAGTGTGGGTAAGGATGCCAAAAATCTTTCTTGAATATTATGATGAGGAGGCGCTCACAATTATCGAAAACCGGATTGGACAGACGATTAGAGTGGATATGAATACCTCTTGCCAGCTACGCGGTCACTATGCAAGAATCTGCGTTTTGGTGGACTTAGGGAAACAACTGATGTCAGGGTTTTCTCTTGATGGTGAAGAGTATTATTTAGAGTATGAGGGATTGCATATGGTGTGCACCAGTTGTGGCATTTATGGTCACAGACATGATACATGCCCAAAGAAAGCAAAGATGAAGGAAACAAAAGGAGCAGATGTAAACAAATCAAATGAAGCGGGTCTCCATGAAAGGCGTGAGGATAATAGCATTAGAAACGAACAAGAACAATGGAGAATAGTTCAGAAAACTCGCCGGCAACGGAAAAGCAAGGACGGAAAAGGTGAGATAGCAAAGCCGGGAAATAGAGAATCTTGATTTGGTGTGCTAGCTGACGTGGAGGAGCCTTCGGACAATACGGGTACCAACGGTGTCGTAGCTGAACCAGTCGTACAAGAGGTGCCCCTACAACGCCCACAATTTCAGAGCACTACCTCTGCAGGACATTGGAAAGGGAAGAGAAAAGTGACTCAGAAAAAACAGGTGGTCGTTACTAAAGATACGGACTGTTTCATGCTACAAGCTGTAAATGAGACAAATGACAGAGAAATACAAAGGAAAAGTGAGAAGAGAACGAGAGAAATGATGCGAGATGATATTTTGAGAAGGGAACGGAAAGGTGGCGAGGTTCTGATGCTTTCAATGGGAGAAAATATAGAGGGGGAAAATATGGGAAGGGAATTAGCCGAGGAAAATATGGAAATTGTGGGGGAAGAAGAGAATTTGGATCAGAATAATCAACTAGTCATCACCCAACCTAATGCTCTGGAAAGGCATTACAACCAAGTTCGAATTGAAGAAGTAGACCCTGGTGATCATTATATTGGGCCTCCGAATTTAAGCCCAAAGGCGAGTGAAGAACAAGTCCAATGCAGTGAGGGCTCCATTGTGCCAGAGACCCAATTTCCTATTGGGCCTTGATGTTTCACACGAGAATTTGCTCTGATCCCTTTATAGTTTTTATGGATAGCATCTTATATTGGAATACAAGGGGGTCCTGTGATAAGGGGCTCCTAAGAAATCTAAAACTAGTGTGTAGTGGGCCAAAACCTCTCCTGATTTGCCTTGCTGAGACTCGGTGTAACAGAGCAGAAAGGTTCCACGTTCTGTAGTCCATGGGTTTCGATGGCATCAAGGTTATTCCTAGTCTGGGACGGTCTGGTGGTTTAGTAGTAGCTTGGAGGAGCAATCAAATTCAAGTCACAGTATTAGAAGAGAATAGACAGTTCTTCCATCTGGACTGCTCCTTCTCAGGAAGGAACAAATTTTTCCTAACCACTGTTTATGCAATCCCTCATTCGAACCACCGTCATTTGTTGTGGGGAAGTTTGAAATCCTTGTCTGCAACTATAATACAACCTTGGGCTGTGATTAGAGATTTTAATGATATTATTATGGTGAATGAGCGGACTGGTGGAAGCAGAGGTAATGTCCAACGCATGAATTGGTTTCAGCAACAACTTGATCAGTGTGGCCTTTGCGATCTGGGTTTCAATGGTCCGAAGTACACTTGGAAGGGACCTAAAGTAAATGGGTGTGCTAGGCTGTACGACAGACTGGACAGAGCTCTGGGTAATTCTCTTTTCTTTACTGCTATGTCTGATTGTGTAGTTAAAGTATTGCCTCGTACTCATTTCTCAAATCACAACCCAATTCTGATGCACTTTATTACTAGGAACTTAAGAAATCCTAAACCGTTTCGTTTTGAGGCCATGTGGCTTGCTCATGAGAACTTTATAGATTTTCTAAACTTAAATTGGATTGATGATGAAGATATAAACCAGGCCTTGCTGTCCCTGCGTCAGTCTTTGTATTGCTGGAATAAAAATGTGTTTGGCTTTATAGAAAATAAGAAAAAGCACATTCTGGCTCGGTTAGGTGGAATTCAAAACTCAGCTGCTTACCCCCATTCTAACTTTCTATGTAATCTGGAAGTAAACCTTCAGAACGAGCTTGAGAATATCCTTAGATTGGAGGAGATCAAATGGTTTCAAAAAGCTAGAACTGATTGGATTGCGCAGGGGGATAGGAATACACGGTTTTACCATTTGAAGACAAATTTTAGAAGAAGGAGGAATAGAGTGTTAGCTCTGAAAAATGACTCTGGAGATTGGATCGATGAGGAGGATCGACTTAAAGCTTTGGTGGTGAATTATTTTAAAGTTTTATTTAAAGATGAAAGTGGGAGATCAAATTCGTTGCAAACCACTGCATCTTTTCCTTTGAATCAGAACCTTCATGTTGATCAATTGGATAAACCTCCTACTGATGAAGAAATTAAAGACGCTATTTTCTCTATGGGTCCTTACAAAGCTCCAGGTTATGATGGCTTTCCTCCAATCTTTTATCAATCAAATTGGAGTAAAGTGGGCTCTTCTATATGCAAATTTGTTAAAGATGCCTTCAAAAGGGATGTTTCTCTCACTGAGGCCAACAAGACTCTTATTTCCCTGATCCCTAAGAAGGATAATCCTGACATGATCAGCCATTTTAGACCTATCTCATTATGCACGGTTCACTACAAGTGCATCACTAAAGTGATTTCTAGTAGATTGAAGCACCTTATGGATGATTTAATCTCTCCAAATCAAGCTAGTTTCATCAAAGGGAGACATATTCAAGACAATATTATTGTGGGGCAAGAAATTATGCATATTATGAAAAAAAAACTAGAGGAAAAAGAGGTCTCATGGCTTGGAAAATTGATCTTGAAAAAGCTTATGATCGTATTAGATGGGACTTCTTAAAGCAGACTCTAATGAAGACTGGGATGGAGACTAATTTTATCGATCTGATTATGTCTTGTGTTACATCTACCTCTTATA